CCTGAAAACCTTCCGACTTGAGGTCTTTCCGCCTTGAGGACTTCCCGACCTGAAAACCTTCCGACTTGAGGTCTTTCCGTCTTGAGGACCTCCCGACCTGAAAACCTTCCGACTTGAGGTCTTTCCGTCTTGAGGACTTCCCGACCTGAAAACCTTCCGACTTGAGGTCCTTCCGTCTTGAGGACCTACCGACCTGAGGTCCGTCCGTCCTAATGACTTTCCGTCTTGAAGACCTACCGACCTGAAGACCTTCCGACCTGAGGTCCTTCCGTCTTGAGGACCTACCGACCTGAGGTCCTTCCGTCCTAATGACTTTCCGTCTTAAGGACCTACTGACCTGAAGACCTTCCGACCTGAGGTCTTTCCGTCCTGAGGACCTACCGACCTGAAGTCCTTCCGTCCTGAGGACCTACCGACCTGAGAACCTTCCGTCCTGTATTTTCCTTAGAAATAAATAAATAAATTTATTTTCCTTGATTTCCTCACGGTGTCCTTCAGCCAGTTCAATCAACCCTATTGCCAGGCCCATTCTTCTTTTTTACCTTGGGCTTTTAACCTAATTCTAAATTTCGTACGTAACAACTTGCCCGCCGCCAAGGGACTTTCAAACGCCATTTAACAATCAATGTTTGGAAGTTCATAAATCACTACCCTCTTGAAAAACTCCCTTAGCAACTGCACCAGTTACTGAAACACGCCTGATAAACTTCCATCTTCGCAATACAAGCCTGTGTGAATCACAATCCCAAAACATTCTAACTATGGCGAATCAATACATGCCTGCCCTTCCTTTCGACGGAACCCTTCCAGAAGGTCCATTTTCAGCCTCGAAAGTACTAACTCCGACGATCCGTCCATATTGCACTACTCCTGAAGATTCAAATCGGATGAGGGAAGTTTTGGAATCTCGCAACGCCTTGGCTATCAACAATCCCAACTACCAAGCAGTTCGCATCCGGGACAGCATCAAGACCCATCTCACAGACCCAAAAGATCTGTATCGCGCTTGGTATCGACGAGTAGCAGAACATTTCCAGACCCAATGGCGTTCCCAAAAAATCGACCAAGCAATATTGCTGTCCACCATGCCTATCAACCTGCATGAGAAGGTGTTATTGGCCATGTCTGCCTTCTGGAATGCGGAAAATGGGACTTTCCTCTTCCCATCAGGCCCCTTTGGCCCAACTCGTATGGACGTGGCCATGATCGCACATCTCCCAGTCGTGGGTGAAGACCCTGTAATGGGAGCCCTAGATGGGCAGGAGCCATCAGAAGACCATCCGGGATGGTCTTTACAAGGTGTGAAGGAATGGGGTTGGACAAAGTTCGCAACCGACCAGCAAGGGGCTCCAGGGACCCCTGTAACCGACCGGGAGCATACTGCCTTTATCCTGTTCTGGCTTTGTAGGTACGTCATTGTTTCCCCTTCCAAAAGTGTCCTTCCTTCTCACCTCGACCTGGCCATTCATATTGCGTCAGGTCGGTTCTTCTCCCTTGGCACCCTATTTTTAGCCAATCTGTTCGAAGGACTCACCAGGGTTAGCCTTCGTTTAACAGATAACGATAATAGGAAATTAGACACTGCCGCGTCGGGTCCTTTTTGGGTTTTAGAACTTTGGTTCCGTCTTTACTTCCCCAACGCGTTTAACTTAGGATCTCCGCCCACTATGCCAACATCTGAAAAACATTTAGGATTAGTCCTCAACCGACTCTGCTCAGGACGCAATAAACTCCAATCGTCCGATCCAATAATAACTGCCATTTTAACAGATACCCGCAGTAACTCTCGATTTTCCATGTATAAAAAATATGCGGGTTATGCTCCCGACCATTTTTGGCCCTTTCCAGTACCAAACCCGCTTCCGACTCCTGGGAAACCGTACTGAAAACCGTCACCCGAACGGTTACAACGTCTCCTTCTCAACCGTCTTCCAACCTTTCTTATGCTGACACGTGTCCCCAGCAGACCAAAAATTCCCTATATTTCACTCCTTGAGCCGACCACAGACCTTCCGCTCTTTTGGCCCGACTGCCAATCTACAATAGTATGGGTCCGACCGCCAATCCTCCCGACTTGCGAACCATCTGGCTTGAGGTCTTTCCGCCTTGAGGACTTCCCGACCTGAAAACCTTCCGACTTGAGGTCTTTCCGCCTTGAGGACTTCCCGACCTGAAAACCTTCCGACTTGAGGTCTTTCCGTCTTGAGGACCTCCCGACCTGAAAACCTTCCGACTTGAGGTCTTTCCGTCTTGAGGACTTCCCGACCTGAAAACCTTCCGACTTGAGGTCCTTCCGTCTTGAGGACCTACCGACCTGAGGTCCGTCCGTCCTAATGACTTTCCGTCTTGAAGACCTACCGACCTGAAGACCTTCCGACCTGAGGTCCTTCCGTCTTGAGGACCTACCGACCTGAGGTCCTTCCGTCCTAATGACTTTCCGTCTTAAGGACCTACTGACCTGAAGACCTTCCGACCTGAGGTCTTTCCGTCCTGAGGACCTACCGACCTGAAGTCCTTCCGTCCTGAGGACCTACCGACCTGAGAACCTTCCGTCCTGTATTTTCCTTAGAAATAAATAAATAAATTTATTTTCCTTGATTTCCTCACGGTGTCCTTCAGCCAGTTCAATCAACCCTATTGCCAGGCCCATTCTTCTTTTTTACCTTGGGCTTTTAACCTAATTCTAAATTTCGTACGTAACAATAGGTTAAATATATATATATATATATTATATGAAGTATCTATTTTGTATCAATTTTTTACTATTTTAACAATTCTCCAAAATTTCAAAATATATATACACTCCATTTACGGGTGGTTTTTTTTTTTTAATAAAATATATTTAGATTTTCATTATTTATAAAAAAATTTCTCCAAAAATATCACATCTATTTTTTATTTTTTATATTATACTAAAAATTATTTTATATTCAAAATATCATATCAATACCTATTTATATTCCATAGTACAACCATTTCAATTCAAAATTTTTATTATTCAAATTACAACCTAAAAAAATCGGTACCCACAAACAAACACGCCCTACATGTGTTTTCAAACTTGTTTAGAGATTGTAATTAAATGTAATAATAGTAATAGACCTAAATTAAAATACAGCAGCAGCAGCAACAGCAACAACAACAACAATAATAATAATAATAATAATAATACTAACAACAATTTATATATAAAAAATTATATATTATTTAAATAAAATTATTTCATAAATTCCATATATATATATATATTTCAAATGTAAGGAAAAATATTAAGGAGTGGGCATTTGTGGTGGGGCATTGGCACAGCAGAGTGTGATGTGTTTGGGGTCTTTTGTGTAATAATATATTATTGATCTTCACATGATGTGGGCATCCAAACAAATCATTGCATACACCTGCGTACCTTGTATTAATTTTGTTCGCAAAATTATTTATAATGTATAATTATTTTTCATAATTTAGAAATTGCATGAAATTTCTTGTATTTAAAAGTATTGCACAAAAAAATATTTTTTAGAGATTTTTGTGTAATATATTTGAAAATAGAAGGAGTCTTGTGCAAATTTTAAAGAATTTTGTATAATATTTTATAAATTACGAGGTAGTCTCGTACAATTTTTAACTTATAAAAAAAAATGATACGCAAATTTTTCAAACGACAACTAAGTTATAGATAATTTAATTTACTTCATCTTTTAAAATCATTTTAAAATTTAATTTTATTTGAGTAATAGTTTAAATAAGTATAGTGAGAATTGATTTCTATAAAAATAAACATAATAAAATTAAAAGTAAATATATTGATTAATATATTGACCTTCCTTTCTCTTCCTCTTTTCTTTTCTTTTTTTTTTTGGAAAAAAATTTTAATTTCATATTTTTTATAAAATTATAAAATATTAAATTAAAATTTTATTTAAATCAATATCTAAAGAAAAAAAAATTCAAAATGAACGCACTTTATTCTCTCAATTTTTTTTTTTTTTTTTATTTTTTATTTTTAAGTTCATAGCAATATATATATACACGGGCATTGAATGTATATAATTTATGGAAATATATATAAAGTTGGTAGGGTACTATTTAATTATGCACACATTTATTTCGAATAACATACGAGATTTTATCATAATTCGCATAGTGTGATTTGTTTTATCGGGTTTAATTTACAAGGTATTAGGTTTAATCAGGGTTTACCTAGTACATACTTTTGGGCAGTGACTGCGGATTCTCACGTCTTAAAAATAAAAAAAAAAAAAAAAAATGAGACTTTACCCTTGTTTGAGGAATGTCTCACCATTTCTACAAAAGCATGACCACCATACTATTAGTTCTAATTTTACTTTTAGTTCTAATTTGGTGTTTTACAATTTGTATCATTCTTTTCTTCATACATAGTTTTTTTTAATCAATGTAAATATAATTTATAAAATTATTTTAATTAATATAATTTTTTATAAAAACTATATATATATATATACCTCATAAAAAATTTGCCTCAAAAACAAAATATGCAATTATATGGGAAGTGAGGGAGTGTCAACTAAGCATACCTTAACTTTGGATTCTCTCTTTATTTTTATTTTTATTTTAGACATGTCTTAAAATATTTGTAATTTTCATTCATTTATACCTAATATTTCATTTTCTACTCCTATAAATATAATTTATATGATTATTTGAAACAAAAGAATAAAAATAAAACAATAAGAGTGTTCATTTTGGGTATTGGAGTGAATATATTATTTTATTAAACTTAAATACATATTTACTATAATAAATTAAAACATATATTAATTAAAATTCATTGTACTAATATAGTAATTAAAAATAATTAATCATACATAAATAGATGGAATGAATTCATTCAAATAGTACTTATATTAAAGTTTATCTTATTTAATCATATAAAATAAATATTATATTAAATAATCTCATTATTATAGTATAATCTATTGAAATTAATCAAAGAAAAGATTTTAGAACTAAGACAATATTATATATATATATATATCATCTCATTCATATATTACAAGATTTCAAGATTAATAACTCTTGTTATCCTAATTCTATCTACATACATACCCAACATTTAACCAATCCATTCTCATTGCACCGGGGGCACCTCGCCGCCACGCCGCCACCGTCCGGCAGCCGGACTTTCCGGCTGCCGTCGCAATCGGAACACAAAACAAACCTCATTCCGGCGCAGCCTCGGCAGGGACAATCCGACGGGCTCAACGGTATCCCTTGTAAGAGAATCTGCAGCCGGCCCTTTTCGTGTAACCCGACGGCCTCGTCCGCCCCGCCGACGTACCGCCCCCGGACAAAAAGCCTCGGCGGCACCACCCGGCCGCCGAGGATTCGCCAAAGCTCGTCCCGATACTCCATGTGCATAGAAACGTCTCGTTCTGAGTACGTCACTCGGAAACTCTCCAACAAGAACCGGACCGCGTTGCAATCCTCGAACGTCTTCCGGATCCCCCGAAGGCTCGTTGTGTACAAAACGACCGAGTCGGGCCCTCCCGGCAGCGGCGGCGGCGGATTATTATCGTTATCGTCGACCGCCGCCATTTCGTATTTTCCCTCGTCTCGGATGGGCTTAAGTTTCGGGCGTGGATCGTGACCGATTCTCGTGTGTTGTCTCGACTCGGACAACTCTTGCGGCGTTATAATTGCCGGTTCCGGAATTTCTTCCCCATCGGAACTTGGGCCGCGGGCCGGTTTTGCATCTTCAACATTGACGGCGGTTTGGGCGACGCGGTGGGTCGTACGATCTTTGGGGGACGAGATCAACTTGAGTTTTTTGAGGATGGTTTCTTTCATATTTATCAGCTGAATTATCTGTTCAGTGATTTTTAACGTCGAGCATTTTGAGACAATTGATTATGGTCGAGACAACCTATAGGGCTCGAGAGAAAGCCGACGATGGCCGGGCCCGGCCCGAATAAGGACAAGGGGAAGGGAGTGTTTGGGAAGGAGAGAGTTGTGTAAAATGCATCAATGGTTATAAGGTGTAGTGTAGTGTAGTGTATGGAATGCCATTGTTGCTTTCTTGCATAAAGCTTTCGAAAAAAGTACTTTAGGTATGAAATGTATATATATGCCTTTTCCCATAAGGGACCATATGTCGTTTTATTCATGTATTTTAATTTTATATAATGATATTGCCGTATGTATTTATTATGACCGCGTCAACATTGTTGAATTCAACACTGTGCTGTGCTGTGCTATTAGACAACACATAATATTACTATAAACATCACATTGCATGTGTTAATATAATACAAATACAATATATGAACAAAACACATACGATATAGTCTCACAATATACAGTATTACTACAGACAACACATCGTATATGTTAATATAATACAAATACAGTACATGAACTACCAACACATGCTGTAATCTCATACAACACACAACAATTAATTTTAGCACATGACATACTTGTATACATCACATTTGTTATTATTAAAAAACAACACATATTTTTATTATACATAACATATGTTGTGTGTAATACTAATGTGCGTTATTTGCATATATCACATGTGCTGACGTAAAAAATCAGCATGGTACTAATTTTTTCAAATCAACACCCTAACCATTCTAATTTATAATACATAATATAGCCAAATTTATTTTAAAACAAAATGTGTAGTTTGTATTCATTCACAATTCTCTAACTTCTAAATTTTTACTTTTATATTCATTAACAATTATATGATTACTTTTACCTTACTTACGAGGGAATATTTGATTTTATATAATTAAATATTATCAATTACTATTGAAATATTAATATATCTTAATAATTTACGTGTAAAAAATAAATGCATACTTTCGAGGTCGACAAAAAGAGTATTATAAATATGATCACAATGGTGATAACGTTGGGTGAGAATTCGAAAGTAAGTCGAGCCCATGATTGCTCGACGAGATGTAATGATGGATAGCACTATAGGGTAGGGTGGGGGTAGGGTAGGGTAGCGTAGGGGGGTGGTGTGGGGTGATGATGATTGACTAAAGCAATGGAATTGAAGACTTTTGGGATATAAAGATACAATTAAGGGAAGGGATTGATAATTGATTGATGCCTTTAGTTTTGTGACACCCCCACCACACTTACCCTTGTCTCCTATTTTCCTCACCACACATTTAACTAATTCACGAAATTTTAAATATTCTATCCGTCTTATATAAAGAGTAAGTTGGTATTTTGCACGTAAATTTTTAAATATTAATATTATATTGAGTTGTAGTAAAAAAGACGAAAATACCTTTATTAGTATTATGTAATATAGAGGTGGTGGTATTTGTGTAATATATTATAAGTTGAAAGAGTATTTATTATGTTAAATACGCAGTACAATTGCTAAATTAGAAAATAGTACTATTGTATATGGGACATAATGAGTATATCAAATTATATAATATTTTATGGTGTTTTAGTTAGAATGTACAAAATACTTTATATTTTATTTATTGTACGAAACTTTGTTGTATTAAATTTAAGCACGTACATACTTGATTGCAAATGCACATTTAATTATGTAAACTTTATATAAATAAAAAAAAAAATACCTTACATAATGTTTTTTGAATAAAATAAATTAATAATAATCTATCAACCATTCATTTAATAGTTTTTTAAGACAAATTTTTACTTAATTTCTACGCACAAAAAATATAATAATAATAATAATAATAATAATAATAATAATAATAATAATGAAGGATTGATCAATTATAATTTTTTTGTTTAAATAAAATTATTTAAGGTATTTGACATTTTTTATTTGTACAAAACACGTATAATTAATTGCGTATATTCAACCAAATATCAACCTTGAGCGAAAAGTGTTTTGTACATATTTTAATTTAACACAAGATAATTTCTCGTAATGAATAAAATACACTATGGGGTATTATATATGCAATTTATCTTTTTTTAAAAAAAATTATGGTTATGTTTTTTTTTTTTTTTTTTTTTAAGTTCGAATTTTAATAATTATGTTTTTATTGCGATTTTCTATAAAATACACTATTTGTATTCATAAAACATCAAATTTAGGTTCTCTCACACATGGTTCGTCCAGTGTGACTTACCTGTCGAACTTAGATTGCAGGATATTATATTCGACTGGAGATTATCCAGTGCGTACTTTTGAGTAGCAACTGCGGATTCCCACGTCATAAAAAAAATCAAATTTAAATTAATATTTATTTTATAAAAATAAAAAATAAACTAATAAATTAAATGGGTGATTATTTTTAAAATTTTATTCTAGTTTTTTTACTATATAACAATTATAATTTTATATTTTAAAAAACAAATGATTTTTTCCCTACGCAATATTACATTAAAATTATTACTCATATAAAAAAAATAAAAAAATAAAATTGATGTGTGGGTTTGGTAGTTAAGTTTATTAATCATTTCAATTCACTCACAAAACACATCATTAATTAGTATACAAAATTTTCATATAATTTGTGTACTATAATTTACATACACGCTATATCGAATAATAGTAAATTAAAAAGATATATATATATATATCAAATAAAATACTTCCTCCGTCGTATAACAAATTATCCATTTACTTTTTGCGTTATTGTACTTAACGCTAAAAATATTTTTATATTTGTATAATTTTTTATACAAATGTCATTATATTAGTATTATAAGACACTAATAGAAATATTTTTGCAATTTTTCCTTGATTTGTAATACGTTTTGATATAATAATTAATATTCAAAGATCAACACTCTGAAAATAAATGGATACTTAGTTATGAGACGGAGGGAGTATTTATTTTTTGTTATTTTTAATTTTTTCAAACATGATATAGGGACAAATTACACTCAAGAAAAGTAATACTCCCTTCGTCCCGCGAAATCAGTCGCGTTTCTTTTTGGCGCGAAGTTTAAGAAAATTTGATTAATATTGCTAATTAATGTGATTAGTTAATGTAATATATGTAATAAATATTATTTTAACTATTTTTATTTGATGAAATATTGAAATAAAAGTTCAAATATTATTTTATAATTTTTGTATAAAATATATATATATACATATATGTATAAATATGGGAGTGCAGAGCGTGTCAATAATATTAAGTCTAGAATCTTCCAATTAAATCAAAATTGTTATGACCGTTGTGCCTTGTAGATTTTCCATATAATACGAAATCATTCATTCTCGTCTTTGGGGATTTTTTTTTTTATTTTTTATTTTATGTTTTGAACATTTGAATTGAATTCAAGATTTGAGTTTTTTTTTTTTTTTTTTTTTTTTTTTTTTTTTTTTTTTAATGTTTTGAACATTTGAATTGAATTCAAGATTTGTTTTTTTTTTTTTTTTTTTTTTTTTATGTTTTGAACATTTGTAATTGGATATTTGTAAGAGAAAATTTTAATGAATAGTAGAATTTTAGTCAAAATTTTTCAAAAAAACATATCCTATAATTTTTATATTTGAATTAAAATTTATACATTTTAATTATATTAGGATTACTTTTTTTTTTCATTTTAACTATATCAATTTTTTAAAATTCAAAATACGTTTTTAGAAAAATGTAAAAAAAAAATAAAATTTTATATCAAAACAGAAAGTTACACATTCATGTAAAATTTTTTGAAATTGATTTTTTCCCAAAAAAAATGTATTTAATTTAATATTTCATGAAAAAAATAATTTAATGTAATACTTTTTTATAAAAAAACAACAATTTATAAAATAAAATTTTCAGCAGCCAATGTTCCGTTTATTTCCATTAACAATCTATTCTCAGTCATTTTTAAACCCCAAATTCCATACCAAATAAATTCAAGATTAATCATTGATTCATTCATCGCACAAACAAATCATATATATTTTGGTGTGTGATTTCGAATTAAAGAATGTGGAATTTTCTCAAATTTTCCCTTTTTCTTTATATTAATAATTTGTGGATCCCACCACTAGATTTTATAGTATTATTCGGTTATTATAAAATAAATTAAATGATATTTTGAATTGGTATAAAAGAATATTATATATCAAAGGAACATATTAAATTATTCATTCTCGTTATCAATTACGTCAATATATTGAAAAATAAAATTTAAAAACCAAACAAAGATATATCATCAAAATATAAAAAATTCATCAATGAATATAAATATCTATGAGCTTTCAATAAAGAGCTCTTTTAAACTGAGAAATTAGAGAGCAAGGGTGGTGCAAAATCTATGAGCTTTCAATAAAGAGCTCTTTTAAACTGAGAAATTAGAGAGCAAGGGTGGTGCAAATGTACAGATTGTCGTTGTCAACGTCGTCGGCGCCGCTGGAAATTGCAAAAGGATCGGATCAAGCGGCGGCAGCAGAATTGTCGGAAAATTTGGATTCCGAGCGGAGTCCTCTCGACTGCTGCAATGCCTGTGCGAACGCTTGGTACTTGCTTATGTCCGCATCGCTTACGCTCCTAGGCGCGTTTGTCATTGACTCTATCTTGGCCAGCTCGTCTTCGCTGTTGTCGTCTTCCTCCATTGCCTCCGGATTCTCCTGTCAGTTCTTCTCTCGTTCGATGTCCTGCCAAAGACACACACATATGTATGCATGTAACAACTTGCAGAGCCGTTAAACAAATCAAGCGAGGGGCTAAGTAGTGTAATTAGTTAATATAATATATGTAATAAAATGTTATTTTAACTATTTTTATTTGATGAAATATTGAAGTAAAAGTTGAAATATGTTTTTTATTTCATATAAATTTAATGTTTTATTTATTGAATTGTTTTATTTTAAAAAAATATTATTATATTGATTGTAAATTATGCAATTAGATAAAAAAAATAATTAGAATAATTATTTGATTTGATGTAAATATTTACCAAAAATTCAATAAATGTAAACATATAACTTAGTATTCAAAGACTACTACAATTAATACTACTACCAATAGCAGAGCAAATCAAACTATATTTCAAATTTTGAATAAAAATAATTATTTGATTTGATGTAAATATATATTGAAATAATATTTTGAATATAAAATTAAATTTTATTATAATATAATAAATGAAAGGATATATATTTGATTTAATACTTTTTTGTTTTAGTGAAACATTTTAAGAATAGAAAACTAAAATAAATCTCACAAATAAACACGCCCTTAATATTAATAATTAATTTTAATTTACAAAATAGTATACGGGCTTTATAGAATAACCATTCTAATAATTGCATTAATAAATGACGTACTTAATTAGTTGGTAAGTACCAAAAACCTACCAAATTTTATTCCCAAATTTTTCTGATAATTAAGTTAGTGTTTATTTGTCACATATATTTTTTTATTTTCTGTTATTATAACCAATAAAAATATTATTTTATTATATTTTATATTTATTTTAGTTATTTTAAATTTTTAAAAACTTCATAGATATTTTTTTATCTCTCTCTAAATAAAACTCTTGATGCCGGCAACCGACAATACAAACATTTGTAATAAACTAATAAAAATGATTAAAAAAGAAAAAAGTAAGAATGTTTTTTTGGTACACATGAGTCTACTTATTTATTAGTTATTATTATTTTTATATATTTGTTAGAGTTTCGATTGTTTCATATTAGAATCTTTTTCACTTTGTTTGCAATATGATGTTTTTGTAAAAATATTTTTAATTTTTTTTTTTTTTATATTAGTAATAAAATTTACCTGATTCCGGCTAGGAACTCCTCGCCGATGCGCACTTCATTCCCTCGACAATAGTCGGAGAAATCGGCGGCGACAAAATCCGAGCTTATGTCCGCGCAACTCTGAATCCCACCGCGACTATCAGGTCACGGGGAACCGTTGTAAGCAAATCTCCGTCTTCGCCGCGCATGGCCTCGTTCTCCAGCCGTGGTCCGAGCTATCAAACCTCCGAACCTCCGAGATTCTCAAGCCGGATGTGAACGTGCCCGGAGTCAACATTCTCGCTGGCTGGACCGGCTATGTTTGGCCAACGTCTCTCAACAGCGATAATCGCGAGGTCGAATTCAACATCATCTCCGGTAGGTCGATGTTGTGCCCTCACGTCAGCGGCTTGGCGGCGCTGCTGAAACAGGCCCACCCTGAGTGGTCGCCGGCCGATCAAGTCAGCATTGATGACCACGGCGTACAACGTCGACAACAACGGGAATAATCTAACGGACCTCGCCACCGGGGACGTGTCCAATCCGTTCTCGGGCCACGTCGATCCAAACCGAGCAACGAATCCCGGCCTGATCTACGACATCGATACCCAAAAATACGTCGCGTTTTTGTGCAGCATCAGGTACAATGCGCAGCAAATTACGGCATTCACGAAAGATTCGTCGATCATGGATTGCAACACAGTCGGGCTGAAAACTCCGGGGGATTTGAACTACCCGTCGTTCTCGGTTGCCTTCTCCGGCTTTAAAAGCGTTGTGAAGTATAACCGAAGCGTAAGAAATGTCGGGAAGGAGGCGAATGCCGTGTACGAGGTGACAGTGCACGCACCGGACGGCGTGGAAGTGACCGTGACACCGAGTAAATTAGAGTTCGGCGAGAAGGAAGACACTCTATATGGGTCTACAGAGATAAAGATAAATCTAATAATTAAATACAATGGTAATGGTAATGGTAATTAGGAAAACATTTCTTTTTCGTATTTGCAAAGCTTTATTCTCTTGGTTCTGTTGGCATGCAGGTGACCCAGGTTGATCTCCAACACATCGCCACTTAACTTTTTATACGGTTTTCGATTTATATTAAAAAATAATAATATATATAGTTTTATACAAAATATATAATATATAATTTATATACTAAAAAATATAATAGTTTAACATAAAATATTACTCAATCCGTCCCACTAAATTTATCCACTTTTTCTATATCCATCAGTCCTATATAAATTATCTCTTTTATTTTTTGGAAATATAATTTTAATACACCAGTAAAATAAATTTTAAATTATTAATCTATTTAAAATATCATTAGTGATATAATAAAATTAATGATTATAAATAAATATATGTAATTGTAGCAGTATATTCAAATAAAATATTATATTTTTATAGAAGTAATAAAATATAATTTAAATATAAAAATATATATACATATAATATTAAAAAAAGAAATTATTTTAATTTTTATTAGATTAGATAGGAGGAGGGTATTATATATGGTAAGTTTTTATATTAGGTAAGTAGCCGTTAAGCATAATGATTTTGATTTTGATTTTGATTTTAATATACACATAATATTAAAAAAAGAAATTATTTTAATTTTAATATACACATAATATTAAAATGTGAAATTATATATGGTAAGTGTTTTATATTAGGTAAGTAGCCGTTAAGTATAATAATTTTGAATTTGAATTTGATTTTAATTTAAATATACACATAATATTAAAATGTGAAATTATATATGGTAAGTGTTTTATATTAGGTAAGTAGCCGTTAAGTATAATGATTTTGAATTTGAATTTGATTTTAATTTTAATATACACATAATATTAAAATATGAAATTATATATGGTAACTTTTTATATTAGGAAAGTAGCCGTTAGGTATAATGATTTTGAATTTGAATTTGATTTTAATTTTAATATACACAAAATATTAAAATATAAAATTATATATGGTAAGTATTTTATATTAGGAAAGTAGCCGTTAAAACATATATTATAAATACTCTTGATTTTGATATTGTATACATTATTATAAGCAATGCAAATGCAAATGCAATGGAGGGAGGGGGGGGGGGGTACGAGCAGGGGCAGGGGGCAGGGAGGGTTCTTGGTTTTGTGAGAGGAAATTAGGAATTACGATGAGGTGTGCTTACATGAGGGAGGGCGATCCATTTAAGGGAGAGGTCAAGTGCAGTGCTTAGGAGGGCGATCCATTTAAGGGAGAGGTCAAGTGCAGTGCTTCGATCTCCATCGATCGATCGATGCAATAGCAGCAAAGCAAGGGCAGGGCAGGTGGAATTCCGAAGGTTTTGTGAAGAGGGTTCTGGAGAATTTCGGGGATCCAGCTGACACTTGTCGACAAGTAAGTTTTGAGCTTTACTTTTACTGCTCTAGTGGTAATGTAATTTTGGTGAAAAATGGTTTCGAAGAGGCTTATGCTGTCCGGGGAGGGATCAGTGGCAAGAAGGGATGGCATGGTTATTTCTATATGTTTCTTTTTGTCTTGTGTTAATCATTCAAGAAATTATAGTATGACACTTTTCTTGGAAAATTTTAGAATCCAATCTTGGAACTTTTGCACTTTTCTTGAACAATTTTAGAATCCAATCTTGGAACTTTGGCACTTTTCTTGGAAAATTTTAGAATTCCAATCTTGGAACTTTTCTTGAAAAATTTTAGAATCCAATCTTGGAACTTTGGCACTTTTCTTGGAAAATTTTAGAATTCCAATCTTGGAACTTTTCTTGAAAAATTTTAGAATCCAATCTTGGAACTTTTCTTGGTTGTGATATACCTAATAATGAATGCTTTTGGATTTGACTCTTCACTTAAGCATGTGATTTGTTAGTTATTCTGGATCGATGATATTGTGTGCTTATTTTGTAGGAGACGAGGGAGTGGCCGGATGATGGGACGACCGTAGGGAGTATTTCGTCCATTTCCTTTTACATTTATGCATTTAATTTAATTTAGCATTTTGCATATAGAAATAGATTTATTTTTACGTCCGTCCCGGGACATGCTTGTATTAATTTTGTTTCTATATTTTATACTAACTTATTTTTAAGAGTTTTTAATTTGTAGGTAAAGCTTATGGGGGAGACGAGGGAGTGGCCGGATGATCGAACGACCGTAGGGAGTAATTCGTCCCTTTCCTTTTACATTTATGCATTTAATTTAATTTAACATTTTGCATATAGAAATAGATTTATTTTTACGTCCGTCCCGGGACATGCATGCATTAATTTTGTTTCTATATTTTATACTAACTTATTTTTAAGTGTTTTTAATTTGTAGGTAAAGCTTATGGGGAGACGAGGGAGTGGCCGGATGATCGGACGACCGTAGGGAGTAATTCGTCCCTTTCCTTTTACATTTATGCATTTAATTTAATTTAGCATTTTGCATATAGAAATAGATTTATTTTTACGTCCGTCCCGGGACATGCATGCATTAATTTTGTTTTTATATTTTATACTAACTTATTTTTAAGTGTTTTTAATTTGTAGGTAAAGCTTATGGGGGACGACCGTAGGGAGTAATTCGTCCCTTTCCTTTTACATTTATGCATTTAATTTAATTTAGCATTTTGCATATAGAAATAGATTTATTTTTACGTCCGTCCCGGGACATGCATGCATTAATTTTGTTTCTATATTTTATACTAACTTATTTTTAAGTGTTTTTAATTTGTAGGTAAAGCTTATGGGGAGACGAGGGAGTGGCCGGATGATCGGACGACCGTAGGGAGTAATTCGTCCCTTTCCTTTTACATTTATGCATTTAATTTAATTTAGCATTTTGCATATAGAAATAGATTTATTTTTACGTCCGTCCCGGGACATGCATGCATTAATTTTGTTTCTATATTTTATACTAACTTATTTTTAAGTGTTTTTAATTTGTAGGTAAAGCTTATGGGGGACGACCGTAGGGAGTAATTCGTCCCTTTCCTTTTACATTTATGCATTTAATTTAATTTAGCATTTTGCATATAGAAATAGATTTATTTTTACGTTCGTCCCGGGACATGCATGCATTAATTTTGTTTCTATATTTTATACTAACTTATTTTTAAGTGTTTTTAATTTGTAGGTAAAGCTTATGGGGAGACGAGGGAGTGGCCGGATGATCGGACGACCGTAGGGAGTAATTCGTCTCATTCCTTTTACATTTATGCATTTAATTTAATTTAGCATTTTGCATATAGAAATAGATTTATTTTTACGTCCGTCCCGGGACATGCATGCATTAATTTTGTTTCTATATTTTATACTAATTTATTTTTAAGTGTTTTTAATTTGTAGGTAAAGCTTATGGGGAGACGAGGGAGTGGCCGGATGATCGGACGACCGTAGGGAGTAATTCGTCCCTTTCCTTTTACATTTATGCATTTAATTTAATTTAGCATTTTGCATATAGAAATAGATTTATTTTTACGTCCGTCCCGGGACATGCATGCATTAATTTTGTTTCTATATTTTATACTAACTTATTTTTAAGTGTTTTTAATTTGTAGGTAAAGCTTATGGGGGACGACCGTAGGGAGTAATTCGTCCCTTTCCTTTTACATTTATGCATTTAATTTAATTTAGCATTTTGCATATAGAAATAGATTTATTTTTACGTTCGTCCCGGGACATGCATGCATTAATTTTGTTTCTATATTTTATACTAACTTATTTTTAAGTGTTTTTAATTTGTAGGTAAAGCTTATGGGGAGACGAGGGAGTGGCCGGATGATCGGACGACCGTAGGGAGTAATTCGTCTCTTTCCTTTTACATTTATGCATTTAATTTAATTTAGCATTTTGCATATAGAAATAGATTTATTTTTACGTCCGTCCCGGGACATGCATGCATTAATTTTGTTTTTATATTTTATACTAACTTATTTTTAAGTGTTTTTAATTTGTAGGTAAAGCTTATGGGGAGACGAGGGAGTGGCCGGATGATCGGACGACCGTAGGGAGTAATTCGTCCCTTTCCTTTTACATTTATGCATTTAATTTAATTTAGCATTTTGCATATAGAAATAGATTTATTTTTACGTCCGTCCCGGGACATGCATGCATTAATTTTGTTTCTATATTTTATACTAACTTATTTTTAAGTGTTTTTAATTTGTAGGTAAAGCTTATGGGTAGACGAGGGAGTGGCCGGATGATCGGACGACCGTAGGGAGTAATTCGTCCATTTCCTTTTACATTTATGCATTTAATTTAATTTAGCATTTTGCATATAGAAATAGATTTATTTTTCCATCCGTCCCGGGACACGCATGCATTAATTTTGTTTTTATATTTTATACTAACTTATTTTTAAGTGTTTTTAATTTGTAGGTAAAGCTTATGGGGAGATTAGAGGAAGCGCAAAGATCCTTTGATCTCGATTTCAAATCAAAGGTAAATGATTTTAATATTATTTTTTTGTTTCCTATGCATATATATACTAATATCTATTTTAAATTTTTTTAGATGCATACGAGAGGGAGTGGCCAGATGATCGGACGACCGAATACATCGTAGGGAGTAATTCGTCCCCTTCTTTTTACATTTATGCATTTAATTTATTTTAGCATTATGCATATAGAAATAGATTTATTTTTAAGTCCCGGGACATGCATGCATTAATTTTGTTTCTATATTTTATACTAACTTACTTTTTTAGTGTTTTTAATTTGTAGGTAAAGCTTATGGGGAGATTAGAGGAAGCGCAAAGATCCTTCGATCTCGATTTCAAATCAAAGGTAAGTGATTTTAATATTATTTTTTTTTCCTATGCATATATATACTAATATCTATTTTAAATTTTTTTAGATGCATACGAGAGGGAGTGGCCGGATGATCGGACGACCGAATACATCATAGGGAGTAATTCGTCCCCTTCTTTTTACATTTATGCATTTATTTTATTTTAGCATTATGCATATAGAAATAGATTTATTTTTAAGTCCCGGGACATGCATGCATTAATTTTGTTTCTTTATGTTATACTAACTTATTTTTTTAGTGTTTTTAGTTTGTAGGTAAAGCTTCTGAGGAGATTAGAGGAAGCGCAAAGATCCTTCGATCTCGATTTCAAATCCAAGGTAAGTGATTTTAATATTATTTAGTTGTTTCCTATGCATATATATACTAATATCTATTTTAAATGTTTTTAGATGCATACGAGAGGGAGTGGCCGGATGATCGGACAACCGAATACATCATAGGGAGTAATTCGTCCCCTTCTTTTTACATTTATGCATTTAATTTATTTTAGCATTATGCATATAGAAATAGATTTATTTTTAAGTCCCGGGACATGCATGCATTAATTTTGTTTCTTTATTTTATACTAACTTATTTTTTTAGTGTTTTTAGTTTGTAGGTAAAGCTTATGTGGAGACGAGAGGATCAGGAAAGATCCTTCGATCTCGATTTCAAATCCAAGGTAAGTGATTTTAATATTATTTTGTTGTTTCCTATGCATATATATACTAATATCTATTTTAAATGTTTTTAGATGCATACGAGAGGGAGTGGCCGGATGATCGGACGACCGAATACATCATAGGGAGTAATTCGTCCCCTTCTTTTTACATTTATGCATTTATTTTATTTTAGCATTATGCATATAGAAATAGATTTATTTTTAAGTCCCGGGACATGCATGCATTAATTTTGTTTCTTTATGTTATACTAACTTATTTTTTTAGTGTTTTTAGTTTGTAGGTAAAGCTTCTGAGGAGATTAGAGGAAGCGCAAAGATCCTTCGATCTCGATTTCAAATCCAAGGTAAGTGATTTTAATATTATTTAGTTGTTTCCTATGCATATATATACTAATATCTATTTTAAATGTTTTTAGATGCATACGAGAGGGAGTGGCCGGATGATCGGACAACCGAATACATCATAGGGAGTAATTCGTCCCCTTCTTTTTACATTTATGCATTTAATTTATTTTAGCATTATGCATATAGAAATAGATTTATTTTTAAGTCCCGGGACATGCATGCATTAATTTTGTTTCTTTATTTTATACTAACTTATTTTTTTAGTGTTTTTAGTTTGTAGGTAAAGCTTATGTGGAGACGAGAGGATCAGGAAAGATCCTTCGATCTCGATTTCAAATCCAAGGTAAGTGATTTTAATATTATTTTGTTGTTTCCTATGCATATATATACTAATATCTATTTTAAATGTTTTTAGATGCATACGAGAGGGAGTGGCCGGATGATCGGACAACCGAATACATCATAGGGAGTAATTCGTCCCCTTCTTTTTACATTTATGCATTTAATTTATTTTAGCATTATGCATATAGAAATAGATTTATTTTTAAGTCCCGGGACATGCATGCATTAATTTTGTTTCTTTATTTTATACTAACTTATTTTTTTAATGTTTTTAGTTTGTAGGTAAAGCTTATGTGGAGACGAGAGGATCAGGAAAGATCCTTCGATCTCGATTTCAAATCCAAGGTAAGTGATTTTAATATTATTTTGTTGTTTCCTATGCATATATATACTAATATCTATTTTAAATGTTTTTAGATGCATACGAGAGGGAGTGGCCGGATGATCGGACAACCGAATACATCATAGGGAGTAATTCGTCCCCTTCTTTTTACATTTATGCATTTAATTTATTTTAGCATTATGCATATAGAAATAGATTTATTTTTAAGTCCCGGGACATGCATGCATTAATTTTGTTTCTTTATTTTATACTAACTTATTTTTTTAGTGTTTTTAGTTTGTAGGTAAAGCTTATGTGGAGACGAGAGGATCAGGAAAGATCCTTCGATCTCGATTTCAAATCCAAGGTAAGTGATTTTAATATTATTTTGTTGTTTCCTATGCATATATATACTAATATCTATTTTAAATGTTTTTAGATGCATACGAGAGGGAGTGGCCGGATGATCGGACAACCGAATACATCATAGGGAGTAATTCGTCCCCTTCTTTTTACATTTATGCATTTAATTTATTTTAGCATTATGCATATAGAAATAGATTTATTTTTAAGTCCCGGGACATGCATGCATTAATTTTGTTTCTTTATTTTATACTAACTTATTTTTTTAGTGTTTTTAGTTTGTAGGTAAAGCTTATGTGGAGACGAGAGGATCAGGAAAGATCCTTCGATCTCGATTTCAAATCCAAGGTAAGTGGTTTTAATATTATTTTGTTGTTTCCTATGCATATATATACTAATATCTATTTTAAATCTTTTTAGATGCATACGAGAGGGAGTGGCCGGATGATCGGACGACCGAATACATCATAGGGAGTAATTCGTCCCCTTCTCTTTACATTTATGCATTCAATTTATTTTAGCATTATGCATATATAAATAGATTTATTTTTAAGTCCCGGGACATGCATGCATTAATTTTGTTTCTTTGTTTTATACTAACTTATTTTTTTAGTGTTTTTAGTTTGTAGGTAAAGCTTCTGGGGAGATTAGAGGAAGCGCAAAGATCCTTCGATCTCGATTTCAAATCCAAGGTAAGTGATTTTAATATTATTTTGTTGTTTCCTATGCATATATATACTAATATCTATTTTAAATCTTTTTAGATGCATACGAGAGGGAGTGGCCGGATGATCGGACGACCGAATACATCATAGGGAGTAATTCGTCCCCTTCTTTTTACATTTATGCATTTAATTTATTTTAGCATTATGTATATAGAAATAGATTTATTTTTAGGTCCCGGGACATGCATGCATTAATTTTGTTTCTATATTTTATACTAACTTATTTTTTTAGTGTTTTTAGTTTGTAGGTAAAGCTTATGTGGAGACGAGAGGATCAGGAAAGATCCTTCGATCTCGATTTCAAATACAAGGTAAGTGATTTTAATATTAGTTTATGGTTTCCTATGCATATATATACTAATACCTATTTTAAATCTTTTTAGATGCATACGAGAGGGTGTGGCCGGATGATCGGACGACCGAATACATCATAGGGAGTAATTCGTCCCCTTCTTTTTACATTTATGCATTTAATTTATTTTAGCATTATGCATATAGAAATAGATTTATTTTTAAGTCCCGGGACATGCATGCATTAATTTTGTTTCTATATTTTATACTAACTTATTTTTTTAGTGTTTTTAGTTTGTAGGTAAAGCTTATGGGGAGATTAGAGGAAGCGCAAAGATCCTTCGATCTCGATTTCAAATCCAAAGTAAGTGATTTTAATATTATTTTTTTGTTTCCTATGCATATATATACTAATATCTATTTTAAATCTTTTTAGATGCATACGAGAGGGAGTGGCCGGATGCTCGGACGACCGAATACATCATAGGGAGTAATTCGTCCCCTTCTTTTTACATTTATGCATTTAATTTATTTTAGCATTATGTATATAGAAATAGATTTATTTTTAAGTCCCGGGACATGCATGCATTAATTTTGTTTCTTTATGTTATACTAACTTATTTTTTTAGTGTTTTTAGTTTGTAGGTAAAGCTTCTGGGGAGATTAGAGGAAGCGCAAAGATCCTTCGATCTCGATTTCAAATCCAAGGTCAGTGATTTTAATATTATTTTGTTGTTTCCTATGCATATATATACTAATATCTATTTTAAATCTTTTTAGATGCATACGAGAGGGAGTGGCCGGATGATCGGACGACCGAATACATCATAGGGAGTAATTCGTCCCCTTCTTTTTACATTTATGCATTTAATTTATTTTAGCATTATGTATATAGAAATAGATTTATTTTTAGGTCCCGGGACATGCATGCATTAATTTTGTTTCTATATTTTATACTAACTTATTTTTTTAGTGTTTTTAGTTTGTAGGTAAAGCTTATGTGGAGACGAGAGGATCAGGAAAGATCCTTCGATCTCGATTTCAAATACAAGGTAAGTGATTTTAATATTAGTTTATGGTTTCCTATGCATATATATACTAATACCTATTTTAAATCTTTTTAGATGCATACGAGAGGGAGTGGCCGGATGATCGGACGACCGAATACATCATAGGGAGTAATTCGTCCCCTTCTTTTTACATTTATGCATTTAATTTATTTTAGCATTATGCATATAGAAATAGATTTATTTTTAAGTCCCGGGACATGCATGCATTAATTTTGTTTCTATATTTTATACTAACTTGTTTTTTTAGTGTTTTTAGTTTGTAGGTAAAGCTTATGGGGAGATTAGAGGAAGCGCAAAGATCCTTCGATCTCAATTTCAAAGCCAAGGTAAGTGATTTTAATACTAGTTTATGGTTTCCTATGCATATATATATACTAATATCTATTTTAGATCTTTTTTTATGCATACGAGAGGGAATGGCCGGATGATCGGACGACTGAATACATAATAGGGAGTATTTCGTTCTTTTTCTTTTACATTTATGTTTTGCATTTATTATAGCATCTTGCATATAGTAATAGAATCATGTTTACGTCCCGGGACTTGCATGCATTAATTTTTTTAAAAATTCTTAATTATCAATAAACATATTTTTCTCCTAATTATATCAATTTAGACTAATATAACTTATTTTCTAATAAAAAAAATACAAAACTTAATTAAAACTTAATATTAAAAATGTGGGCTGGCCTGGCCCGGTATAATTTGAAACCGGGCCATGCCTTGTTTTGGGTTTTCAAGCCCAATCCAAAATCAGGCCGGTCCTTTCGGGCTTGAATTTTAAAACAACCCGAGGCAAACCAAAAAAAATATTACTCTTTCCCTCGCAAAAAATGCACTAATTTTTTGCGTGTCGGAATGAGTAACATCAGCCTGAAATTGCCACACTTTTTTTGCTAAATATGATGTCAACTTTCTCAAATTATGGAAGCAACATACCTTAAAATTTGAATCCACCGATATGCTGAAGCCTTTTCCAACAATCCATTTGTATCGAATTGCAATGGTGCTGCACTAGAGAAGCCATTTCCCAATGCTTCCACATATACCTACTGGAAGTAAGAGATTAAGTAAAAAAATAAAAATCATGATTACACTGGTCTTTCATATAACTGTTACTATGAAATTTCCAAAGCATTATTATTACAAAATACAGTTTATCAAATTCTTTAAACTAAGACTATTTAATACCAACTCGCAAACAATCTGTTCATATCATCTTTAATGTGCCAACATAGCATAATTCAGGGGAAAGAAACAAATGCCCGTTAGAAAATTATTAAGCACAACATTACAACTATTTTGATCGTTATAAATAAAATTTGACCCCTCTGCCTTACGAAAATATGTTCAACAATTAGTGGACAGCAAATTAATATTCACACATATACATACACATGAATACTGGAATTTTAAAATTATAATTATATTGCAAGCCTATATAGGTAGTGCCCATATTCAACTAGAATGTTGCTACTTGTTTACAAATGGCAACTGTTCTTGTGGCTTTTATGTTCAAATCAATGATCAAAAGCTGTCAACCGCTGTGTAAATATGAGCTCAACTGTAGATAATAATAATAATAATAACATAAACAAATTAAGATAGGTATTACCTTATAAGATATGTGTGTCCTTTATAAATTTTTCATTCATTCTACATAAACACTCAACAAATTCATTATTTAATAGTACTCGAACTAGGACACACGTGAGTATTCTGTTAGTAATAACTCGTAAGCAATTCCTTACAAGAAAATTCAATAAATAATTCTATAAATAAATTACTCATGACATCAATCACGAAATTTCATCCGTGACTAATTTGCACACGTAATTATAGTTATTTTACAATTTCTTACTAAACTATGCACAATAACTTGACTATGTTTCTAACTTTCTATAAACTAATGGATATATAGGATCAAGCAAAAACCGTGGCATGATAAATTGACATTTTAAGGTGCAGAAATTTGAAAAAATTACACAACATGAAGTGAAAGAATCGACCTTTGATGCAATTAACTATAGATTTCAACTCTATAAAAATGTAGTGCACCTAGTAAAACATAAATTTATCAATCGAAAAGAAATGCTATCTTCTTCTTTTAACATGATGGAAATTACAAAACCGAAGCATATTTGATGCCTACATGTAGATTTCCAAGTTGCAAATAGTGAAGGATTAGAATACGATATACACCATATTAGCACATTGCAATAGCTTAATCCACTAGAGTTTTAAGAATCTCATTATTGTATAAACTTCATTCAATCTACTTTCTTGCTTATGAACATAATCTTATATTCTATATCTTCAATGAGGGTAGAAAATGAAAATTTCACAAAAAAAAAAGTTAAAATACTTACAATTACATCCATAAAAGGAATAAAATAGAATTGATGGCATATGATGTACTTCTGACTTCAAATTTTCTAACGGTATCTGCACCAACACAAGATTAAACAAGCATGATTCAGTAGTTAGTAACTTTAATAAATGTCATGAGATCATATCATTTATACGAGGGGTTGAACTGGAAGAGAAATCAACTAAACTTGCCAAAACGGTTCAAACCGCCAGTTACGGTTTGTCAAAATATCAAATCGAAACCGAACCTTCCAAATAACGGTTTCGATTACGGTTTATAAACCGCCGGTTTCAATTTAAAAACCGTCGATTACAGTTTGAACCGCCGGTTTATATATATTCATTTTTAATATTTTCCTTTTTTATTTTCTATTTTTCTAAATTTAAATTTAATTTAAAATTTATTAAGTTTGATATCAATTTTATTCAGATATATTTATTATTTATTTATTATGTAAAAATCATATATATAAATAATTAATTAAATTATTACATTATAAAAATAATTAAAATAATAAATATAGTAAATAATTAAATTAAATTTTAAATAAAAAAGAATATAAAAATAAATATAAAAATATTGATATGATAAAAAATTACAAAATTTAAATATATATAATAATATTATTTTATTAATATTATTAATAACTATTGATATTTATTAAGATTAATATTATTTTTATTTTTATTTTTATAAAAGTTTAATAATATATATATATACAAATTAATCATAATTATAATATCATTATTATTAATATACAAAATTTACCCTAAATTCCTAATCAATAATACATTTACACGTACTAAATCATCGACAGCAGGCGGCAGCGCCAACAGGTTCTCCTTTTTTTTCTTTTCGGTCTTCCTGTTCCCTCCTCCCTCTTTCCTCTCTTTTTTTCTTCTTCTTTGCCTGAGCCTCCCTGTGAGTGGTGAGAGATTTTTTAAAAAAAATTAATATAAACCGCGGGTTCAAACCGTAAACCGGCGGTTTACGATTTGGAAAATTCACAAACCAAAACCGAACCGTGGGATGACGGTTTCGGTTCGGTTTGTGCCGGGTTTCGATTTGAACCGTAACCGTCAGTTCAAAAACCGGCAAACCGAAGGTTCGAAACCGAATGGGCAAGTCTAAAATCAACCTTATTCTATTCTAAATCAAAAAAGATCTCTAGACATATATTAGTGATAATTAACCATGAATTAGTCTAACAAATTTACAAAACAATATCTATCATGCAGGAATTTCGTAAATTTAATTAAAATTCCACATTGTTTGGTATATGGCAGTAATCTCTAAGTAAAAGAACCACGAAGAATAAAATAAATTTTAAACAAACCTTTCGACGAAACTTAACAAAACAAGTTGAAATATTAAAATTGCAACACCTTATTGTGAATAATAGCTTAAATCAATTGGCGCTTAGAGAACATAGAATTTCACTTCTTTCGTACATAATTTAACAATATTTTACAGAGCAACACATTATTCACAAATCCCTATATACTACTTTCATAATAGGTATGCAATACGTGTTTCTTCAAAAGTTCACTACGAGCGGACTAATGTTTCAAAATATATGTTTTCATGAATTCAAACATCAAGTATAACTTTCATCATAAATAGGCCGTTTGAAATAAACCACTACAACATTGGTCTTTGCATGGAAATAACAAACAAAGTGGCACGAAACAATAGCAAACAAAGGGTATACATATCATATTATCCTTCTTATGCATGCATTTGCATTATCAACGTCAAGAGGCTAACAACAGCAAACATTTGAAGAGTAGCGGAAATTAACCAACTTCATTAGTCTGGTCTTATGAGATCAATCACCAACAGTTAAGACTCATGACTACTTACTTGAACTATTAGTAGTACTACTATAACTCTTTCTTTATTATAAATTGTAAGCATGGCAAAGAGATTAAGGAAACTTCACCTTCTTCTTCGGTAGATGCCATAAGCAATAGTAGCAGCTGAAGTGATGCTCAATATAATAACCACAATCCAGGTGGCATCTCTTTTTGATTTAACTTTAACTGTATCAAACCCACTTGGTGGGTTGTGGCTATCAAATAAGGTCACACTTGATTTGCCGATAGTAGTACCCATTTGGCCCCTGATTTAATTAATAATGCATATAATTTGTAAGATAAAAAGGGGAGGAGAAGAGAACATATATATTCAGAGAGAATTGCTAAACCTCCAAAGCTTCTCAACGATTTCACCCTTTAGGATATGTTCCTCAACTAATTCAAGAACATTCTTAGCCGTGACGTATCCACACCTGCGTGATTAGAGCAAAAAAAATAGTTATTTATGATCAGTCCTCGCAGAATAACAGACCACAAATGTATGTTTCCATAATTACAGACCATGAACACATATTATGGTGCATCAAATATCTAACATGAATCCATCAAAACTTATACATATATATTGTAATTAAAAATAAGCGAAATATTGTCTGCAGAAGGATAATAAAATATAGCAAGCCATAAAATCTTGGTCTCATCAATTGGCAATTGCAATCAATCTTTTCCTCAAAATTAAGACTGGAAATAATCACATTGCCTACAAAGCTTCTTGTTTCCTCATATGTGTGAATAGTCAATCCCCTAAAAATGAGAGCTCTGTGCAACTCAAATTCAAGCAAAAATACAAATTCAAAGTTCTATTGAATCAGTCACGATTACTCCAAGAATATTAATCCAATTTCACTCACACAAATGTTGCCAATTCAACATCAAATTTAGAAATGTATTTGAAATCTTTGGGAGCAAAAATTGAAATAAAACAATCTTGCTCAAGATGTCCATTATCAAGATTGTTTTCCATAGAAATGCAAGAAGAATTGGTGCACATAAGGCACAGCCAACAGCATATACCTTAGACCAGTTCTCTTCGTCTACGAAGGGAATAGTGAGTCGCCTTGGAACTGTTAACGGCAAGTGCATGAGAGAATATAGCTTCAAAAATGAAAACAATGGCCGATGTGCTTCCGATCTTCCTCATTCCATCCCCACAGATTCTTGTCTCCGTCATATTGCCACATTAGTAGCGCACATCCACTGCAGCAACGAAGCATGTGACTGCGCATTACTCTCGGTTTCAACCTCAAGCAATGAGCTAAACATGGACTCATCCTCTTGATTTCCCATGGAAAACACTGGAAGCAATGGAGTAAACGCATCCAATTTCAGCCTTTGGGTATGGGTCCTCAACAGTTCATTAGCAGCAACGACAAAGGCATATACTACATAAATCGATACAAAAGCAATAGCAGCCCACACAGTCACTTTACCAACAAACAAGATTAATGAAAGGGCCGTAAGTGTCTCCATATACATTTGGTTAATATAGGTGTTCGTCCTGCGGCTCAGAAATGCTGCAAACAATATGTTATAGGTACGAATCGACGGCGGCAATCTAAATTCCGGGAAGCACGCATATGCTTGTATATATTCACAGCCCTAACAAGCTTCCTATCCTCAGTGAAGTAATATATCATGGTATTGAAAAGAGGCTCAGAGCCCAGGTTAGGGATAGCTAGAACCTGATTGACGATATCGTCCATTTCCTTGTACATTTTGGCCGCACCGAGCTTTCGGATCGTGACGTGATAGGTGAACACGGTGTGCCTGAATCTGTGCTGCTGAGACGCCCAATTGAAGAGCTCCAAGCACACCAATGGATCGTCCTGTTCGATTATCACATTGTGGAGATCCTCCGGGGTGAACCTAGGCAGCAGCTGAGATACACATTTTTGGAAAACTGTTTTGTCTAGAACAGGTTTTGCTGCCAATCTAGCTCTTCTGTTGATTCGCTTGCGCAGTGATCTCGAAATCGGACCTCTGTATATCCTTGTGGAAGTGGAATATAAGGAAACGCACGATCCTTTACTGGAGATCGGAGTTGTAGGGTTTTCAACGATGCGCGAACGGAGAATTGCTGGGGAAATGCAGGTAGGAGATGAAATTGAGCGATTTGGAGATATAATTGAAAGGGGAATGTGAAAGTAATCGAAGAAATTGAAAATTGGTTCTTACTCTGTTGCAACCGATACCTGACTTGAGCGAACATGGTGGAACTTCGAATGTGAGCTTTCACGAACTGTATTTGACCCAAAATTTTCGACTAACGACTTACAAAACCTACAAGCAAAACTGGTGTTAAAGAATAAACTTGGCCATGTTTGTTTGTTTGTGCGATTTTCTGTGCACCCTAGCTACCGGAAAAACTTGGGCAAAGAGGTCTGAAACGGAAGCGCCGGCGACCGGAGACCACCGGTAGAAGAAGCAAAAACAGATGAGGAAAATGTTAAAACATACTCGATTTCCTAGTAAACGGAAGCACAATCAGAGGGAAATGAAGAAAGAGAGGGAAATTAAAAAAAGCCGCACCGGATACTCCAGCGGGCGGCGGCGGCGGCGGCGCAACTCAGAAGAAAAGGAAAGAAGAAAGAGAAAGTAACGAAGAAAGAAAAAGGAAGAAGAAAGTGGGGGAGGGCAAGGTGGGTGACGGCGGCGCGTGAATTGGATTGTTGGAGTGGTAATAATTTATCTATTTTTTTTAAAATAATTATATTATTTATTTAAAATTACAAATATTTTTTTAATTTACATAAATATATAAATATAAAATGAAGAGTATTATATTATAAGCATATAAATAATTATCATTTATATATAATATTTTATATTTAAACTTTATTTTATTTAAAACACTCTCACTTAAATATCCTTGTATATTTATTTATATGGCAAAGGGTCCAAACTGGCCCATAAAGTTCAAAGCCATTAAACTATTAATGGATATGTTTGATTGTAACGTTCATTTATTTACAAAATATTTAAAATTAATAAAAATAAAAAAATTTATAATTTTTTTATAATTTTCAATAGTCAATTACAAAAGTTCAAAATATTTCAAAATATTGGGTGTGTTTGTTCGAAAGATTTGCAAAGATTTATACTTCGTCTGTCCCAAGCACCCTGCAATATTTTCTTTTTGGTATATCCCAAACACTCTGCAATATTTTTAAAATAGGAAATAATTAATTATACTTAATCTCTACACTACACTTTATCCCCTCACATCATCCAAATAAAATATATATATATATTTCTCTCTCCATCACATCACCTGATTTCTAAATTATTCTACTTAATAGTACCCGCCTGCCAAAAGTAAATGTTGCATCTTGTTTGGGACGGAGTGAGTATTATTCATACAACCTTGTTGAACCGGTTGTGTGGGGCCTTCAATTTATTGTAATGCGAGTTGGATTGGATTTGTAATTAAGGTCCAAGCATAATTTAATTATTTAACTTTGAAATGAAATTATCAATTATATATATATATATATTTGGGTAATTTTTTCATGATTAATTTAATTAAATTTATTCATTCAACCTTTTCAATTTTGTGACATATAAATTACACAGTACTCTTAAAAAAAGTCAATATATAATTTACAGTATACTTATAATTTACTTATCAGAAAAATCAGTGTTTGTTTATATATACAAGAACAAAGGCAATAATGGAAGCCATATGTCATAAAAGACTTCAATACGTTTTGCTGCTTTCTTTCAATGCTTATATTATATATATACATATGTACATATATTGAATAAAATTATCACCATCATATATTTATGGGTTTTTCTTTTTGAGTTATTATTTTAATATCTCTAGCAAGTGAGAATTAAAATTAGAGTACACAATCCATTAAAAATGACGATGCCCTTTACCTTGAACTAAATTAACTCGCCTTCCATTCTCATTCCTGTCCCTCATGCCAGTAGTGAAACGCGGCTCGAGCCCTAAGTTCTCCGCAAACTCTAGAAGAAAAAAGAAGATGCCCAAACAAATTTCAAATTCTCCAATTCCTCGCTGAATTGAATAAAAAAAAGGAAAAAAAGAGATAAACTAAACTATAAAAGTGATTTTTATCGCATGCAGATTCAGCTCCAACGTTGCACGAGAGAAATAGTAAAGAGAAACTTACAAGAGGTGATGAAATCGGATGTAGAGAGAATCGGAGCAGGAGCAGGAAAACGAGATGCATTGGGAGTTGGGGTTGGGGTTGGAGATCGACGCATGGGGCGTAAGACGAAATTAAGCTAGAAATAGAAATTGAAGCAGGCTTGGAATGGGCTATTTTAAATAATCATCAAAATTTCTTTAAAATCTTATATTCGAATTAATTTTTATTCTTATTTTTACTATTTTCAATATAATCCACAACATAAAAAATAGTCTAAGAGCACGTATAAGTAAATTCAAAATTTTTTACGTAAGCTCGAGAACGTATTTTTTTTAGTTTGATTATAAGAAATTATAATTATTTTATATTAAAAATATTAATAAAATAACATCTTTATTCAACTTTTTTTTTCTTTTTTACATATTTTCATCCAAATTAGATATTTCGAAACAATTCTAACGTAATAGTTTTCCTCAAAACACATGACTTGCCATAGGTATTTATTATAAACATATCCCGTATGGTTTCAACCAATTCGAACTTTCATACATTTATTTTCCGCATTTAAATTTTTATAAATAATGTATAAAAATATTTTAGAGAAAATAATAATAATAATAATAATAATAATAATAATAATAATAATAATAATAATAATAATAATATAGTCCAAATTTTATTTCAATTATAGTACTACTATATAAATAAAATCAAAAGTAAATTACACAAAAATTTATGGATGGATAAAAGTTAAAAAAATGATGTAAAAGGTTTATTTCTTTGTTTGGTTTTGAATTGAGTTTGGTTTGTCACCTCTGAATTTTTGTTAAAATAGTGTTTTTATATGATATTTTTTAAAATAAATATTTTTTAAATTGAAAATAATGAAGTATAATAATGGTAAAATTGGTTTAAAATATACTAACCAAATATATCCTTAAATTTTGAATTTGTTTTCAAGTGAAATGAATAGTTGAATTTTATGTAAAATAGAAAATTATGAATTTTAATTATGCAAATATAAAATTTAAAATATAAGTAAATAATTATTTTAACATTTTTTAAAGTAATTATAGTTGAATTTGATATTCTAATTAAAAATATTATCAAATTTAATATTTTTAAATGGAAAACTATAAATTGATGCAAAAAAAAGAAAAGAAAAGGATAAATAATTATTTTTTCAAAAATATAAGTAAATATAGATTTTTAAATGGGAATTTTTAATTGAAATCATGCGTAAATCTGAAAACAAACAAAAAAATATAAACGTACCGCGCCAGGTAGGGGTCGAACCTACGACTTTCTGCTTAGGAAACAGACGCTCTATCCACTGAGCTACAGGCGCTCAATGTTTATTTATAAAATTTTAATAATATTATTATTTAAAATTAATAATTGATATTATGTAGATAAATATATACGACAATATTTGTATGCATAATGAAGTACATGCCTGCTAAAAAAGAAAATAAACACTATTTTTTAACAATAAAAAATAGCAAAATATATACTCAATACTCTATTTTTTAACAACAAAAAATTGGCAAAATATATATTCTCTCATTTTGCTATATTTAACCGGCACGAGAATTATTAAAAAAGAATATTTTATCAAAAAATAAATAAATAAATAGTTGATAATTAAAGAGAATGAAAAAATAATGTAATAAAATTAATGATATTTATTGTAAATAAATATTAAATTAAAAATCATATATTAAATATTAATTTTTTACTTTTTCAAATATAATAATAAAATAAATTTATCATACCAAAACACAAAAAAAATAAAAAAATAAATTTAGAGAACATAGCCAGTACTTACTAAGAATGGAGAAATATTAGTTTATATATCAGAAGTCTAATAAAATCTCACAATAAAATAGTTTCAATTTCTTTACATCACAAATTTTGACATACATAATTACAATTCATCAACGTCAGTTAACTGTTAGTTATATATATATATATATATATATATTTGTTTTCAAAGATGGAAATGCCTTCAAACAACTACCCTCCCAAAAACATAGCGCCGCCGCCGCCGCCGGCGGACGGGAACCGGTCGGGAGTTCTTTTTCCGGCAGGTATTCCTTCTTCGTCTAACTCTGCTCGTATAAATATATATACATCAGATCCGAGACTACATACATATACATATACATAACTAAAAATGATAATAAACGACAAATTTTCTAATACGTACTTAAAGAATGGCGTCTGCATGTTCTCATATCCTAATGTATGTATATATATATATATAATGAATACCTGTTGGGTCATGAGTATTTCCGCCGCGACATTCAGGTCTCCGTCGGCAGCTGCTATTGCAACTTCCACCTGTGTCTGAAAATCAATCATCGGCGACGATTATGATTATGACGATGATGATGCAACGGGGCGAATAGTAAGCAAGGTAAATAATTCTTTCAGTTTCGATTCTTTACCTTCTCAAAACCCATCGCGACTAGTTTCTGAATATCATCTTCTGATGCAACGGCGCTCTGTGTCAGCGACAGGTTACAACTGATGTAAGAAGAATAATCGTAATATAGCATTGAATAAAAAGATAATCATCTTATAAAGATGTACGGACCGGATTGTTTTGATTTCTGCTTGGCACTGCAGCATTATTCGACACGGGTGGCCTGAAAAGCGAAAATAAAGAGGGAATGTTGTCGGCAAAAACATATGAAATAGGAACACATTTTCTCTTTTCAGGAGAGACGAGATAATTAATTGCGTTGATTACCTTCCGCCAAGTGTTTCTGGATCGAGGCTTCTGTCGTCATCCAGTAGTCTGGTTTGTAGTGTAGAATCGGAATTTGTAATCGAAGCTGTTTGATTGGTTCCACCCAGTGTCCTGCCTCTCCCGGGAAACCGGCCGTCGTTATCTTGCGCTGTCTGCATCTGGAGAGTAACATATGACAAAGATAATGTGAAGAAGAGCCGTTTGTAGGGGTGGAAAAAACATATTGAATTGCCGAAATACCATGTATACGGTACCAAAAAAATACTAAATATACCAAAAATTTGATACGGTAATGGTATATAAGTTGACGTTTTCAATAATATTTCGGTATATACTGAAAACATGATATTTTGATATATACCGATAATTTAATATATTGATACCAAAATTATTATTTTTAATTTTTTAGAAATTACTTTTTTATTTTGGTATTTCAGTATAACACAGTGTATACCGATACCGTATAGAATTATCGGTATATATATATATGTCATACCGAATTCTAGGCATACCAATTTTTTGGTATATAGCATTGATATGTTCTTTTAACATACCGGAAAATTCAATACGATATACAGTATGATTCGATATTTTCAGTAAATCGTATCAAACCTTCCTTAACCGTATGCTACTCGAGCTCACCGTAAGTGGTTTTCATAAAATGAGGATCACAATTAACAAAGGATCTACAGCAGTTTTCAAGTTAAACGTATATTTAATTAAATTGTCATTTCTTGATCTTGTTCAATACTTGACCGACTACACGTTCAACATTGATTAACGGCTCCCAACCACAAAGAAGGTAGAGAAAATCACGAAACAAAAAGATGATGAAAATTGTACCTGAGCCGGACTGGAACTTCCCCTTTGAGGCATCAATGAAGATAGATTCCTCCACATATTTCCAGAAAATAGCCCGCTTCAAAGGGAAATAACGAGCACATTAGAATCGGATTGTGATCCCAAAGTGAATAAGGTAATAAAGAGAGACAGGATCTACCTTGAAGTGGTGCTTTGGCTTGTGTATGTCGGGATGTTGGCCGTAGGGGTGGTTCCGGTGCACATTATAAACTTAGGTCTCCTTACAATAGTAGACTGCGACAAGGGAGTCGTACAAATGAATAAAGCCAAAATGAAAGACATATCAATGAACACAATGAACCAAGGCTGTGATTATTTATAGGTACAAATGAATAAAGCCAAAATGAAAGACATATCAATGAACACAATGAACCAAGGGTGCGATTATTTATAGGTTCACTCGAAGTTCACACTATACTTCTAATTTTTTCATTCCAAAAATTTCAAGGTGGGACCTATTTATAATTTCAATTTTTGTATCTCGCCTAAATAAACAAATATATTTATATACATTCAAAACTCTTTGTGTTTTGCATAAAATTAATTTATATATATATTAATTATGTATTATGGAATATAATTTTATTTCTTACGAAATGAAATCTATATTGAATATAGTTTTTAAAATGCTTAAACATACATTTTAAATTTCTTTTAATCAAATATATATATTACATCATAATTCAAACATTAATCGAACAATATCCCGTTCAACCACAATTCCAACCAACAACTAAACACCCCATAATACTATAGATTTCAAGTTCATTAAACATTTTATAATCTAAAGTGTCGACAAAACCACATTAAAAACAAAAAAAATTATATTCATATTAAATGGTGTTTTAACTTTTGATGCAGGCAAAACTATATTCATATTGAATAATATACGGGAACGTACAAGCCAAGAGGAGGACTCCATGGACGAATAGAATGATGTTCCAGGAAGCAACTTATTGAACAGCCCGAAAGTATCTGGTGCCAATACCAAAACCAATAAAAACATATTAAACTCAATTTTAGGTAAAAGAAAGGGACATATTGACAGCTAAGGCATATCTCAAAAGCATTCGATAGCATACATGCATATCCTGACAAAATACCGCACAGATGTCCAAGCAACGAGACATTTGTCATGGCAAGCTGAAAAACCACTAGCAATATCCATACGTACCTGAAATTCATAAGTATAATAAAATTATACAACGGTACAAGCTTTAGCAAGAACTAAGCACGTCAATGAAGATTTAAGCTTAACTAACCATTTAGCCGGTACATTAAAAAGTCCAAAGAAACTGCAGGCAAGAGAAAATGTAATGAGCGACGTACTACATTGTTAAAATTTTATAGTACAAAATGTCGATATTACTCATCCAGACCATCCGAAGTTTTATCGAAGAAAGTGGGCAGCAATTAGCAATACAAACCTTCGGGATTGGACGCCACTGAGACTCGTCTCTATAACAATCATCGAGAACAATATCCCTGAGAAACCTATCGAGCACTGATCCATCAAAGACAGGTCAGCATTAAAAGGGTTATGAGAAACCAACAACGCGATAAGAAGATGAAGGATCCCATTGCTAGTGGCCAAAATAGTGAGTATGTATGACAAACGGATCGATCCCATAATCCTTTCGAGCTCAGATCCCATGGGAACCAATGCCAACATGTTGAAGAGCACGTGCAACAAAGAACCGTGAAATACCACGGCAGTGTAGATCCTGTACACTGCAACCAAAATAGTTTAACCAAAAAGAACGGCTCCTCACAGATAGTAGTAATTCGAACAATTTTTTCTAGATTATAATGCAAATAGCCAAGTTACTTCCTATGGTTGTACGTAGTCTTGCTAGCCTGATTAGGAATAATTAATGGTCGTACATTGATTGTCTATACATTAAAGAAAATTTGAATATCAAGAGATTGTTAATATCTTTAACTAGTTTATCAATGATTATGAAAATTATTTTTAATTAAATCAATTATTAAATACAAACTTCATTCCAAAATCATTCATTTGACTAAACTTTCTAATTATATAAGTTTATTCATCGTCGATTTGCATCTTGACTTGATTTCTTAAATTTTAGTTATTTTCGAGGTTATTAGTTAATTTAATTGAATATCTTCCTTTTTTACTTTTAATTTCACTGAACATGTGGGTGTGTTTGTTTTCAATTTCAAACACAAATCAATACTGTTAAGCCTGTACGTTACCGGTAAAAGATACACTATTTTTTCTTACAAAAATCACAGTCACAATACTATTTAAGCTAAAACCAAACGAAACAAACCCACGAATTTTTTGTATAACCTAAAATCGTGTGGAAACGATCCATTTCAATGTATTACATGAATTTTGTGATTGCAGATAAATAGAAAAATTTAATTGACCGTGCTAACGGTCATATTTTGGCTACATCAATTAATCTAACAGAAATCGAACATAGCAAAAAGTTACCTTGAAAGTGTGAAACGACTGCCGAAGGCAAGAAGCAGACTTCGACGAAGGAATCATACCCAACAAACAAACACACCAAGTAAATGATCCCACAAACAATCACAATTGCAGATGTGAGGAAAGGTATGCCTTCCCACCATTGATTCAACCTAGTCTGTAGCCCTGCCTGCACAAATCACTGAAACAACTCAAAATTCTTCACAAAATAGCACAAATACACACACAAATCACTCTTAAACCAACTTACAACTACATAACCAAAACTGTAACTTACAGCTCTACACAATCAAAGCAATTACTCATACACTTCTAACAATAAATAACCTAACATCAATTTCCGTGGAATTATTTCCCCCGATCGGAATGAAATGCAGCTAGATTATTAAACATGATTGTATCTCGGAATTTAACACGATGCGAGGAATTTGGCAAGCGAACATCAATCAGTAAATTAAAGAGTGAGTACAGTGGAAATTCAGAAACCCTAGTGTGAGGGAGCATTGATTTCGTCGGAAAATGTAGCTGGGAGAGGGGATTGGTACCTCGGACGTGACGTTCGATCGCATCTCGCCGTGGAAGGTTTCGAGAATTTCCTCGGCCTACAGTTCTCCGATTTTTGATTCGGATCGGAACCCCTTGGGGTTGGAGGGGTTATGCTTTCTATTTTTATTTTTATTTTTCATTTAATTATTTTTTTTACTGTTCGGACTTCACAGGTCGGATAATATCCACATACCCGGAGTTTATTTATTTATTTTTTTAGAGAAAATTTGTATTGTATACCCTTAAAAAATTAAATTATGCATTTTAAAATTTATATCTTAATATATATTATAAAAAAACTTTAAACATATATAAAAATATTTATTTATTACATAAAAAATAAAATTAGAGAAATATAATATAATATTATAGATTATAAAATTAATTAAATTCTTTATATTAATTATATATATTACATATAATTTACTCATAATAAAAATATAAATTAATTAGTATATTAAATTAATTTATAGAATATATTTGTTTTATAAAATAATTATAAAAAATATTTTTTTAACGTGAATTATAAAAAATGGTATAATTAATATAAAAAAAATGTGTAAAAAACTAAAAGAAACACACTTTATAAATACCAAACAAACACAATTTTGTTGTACACTATTTATTTATTATTAATATCGTAAAATTTGCTCCATTCTTAACCATTTTGTATGTATATATAATTTTGTAAAATTTGTCCCATTCTACACCAATTCCTGTAAATTTGCTATTATTTTTTATTATTATAATCTTTATAGAATTTTCGACGTGAGTAATGGGCTCAAACGCTTCCCATAACAAAGTCCATAAAAAAATTAACAATAAAGAAACGAATTGCATAAATACATTTAAATAAAACCCTACAACCCTACAAGGAATTTTCCCGTACAAAATAGGAGTATATCCTTATAGAAAATAGATAATAATAATTTAAAAAAAAAAAAAAAAAACACACTTAGAAGAAACATTGGCCCAATGTTATAACTATATTAATACATTTCCATTGATGGCTTCCTATCATCAAGCTCAAACATTTCTTAACTCGGCTCGACTCAATTCGACTCGCCATTGAGTCGCCCATTGAGTCGAGACAGAGTTTCCGTAAAAACAAGGGAGAAAAAGTGAATCACATATGCGCACAAGAAACATCGATCAAGCGCGCCATGTAATGACATACAAGTGTGGTGAAAGCTAACTTACAGGTATGATGCGATGTTTTGTAAGAAGCACGAGAGTGTCACAAGTCTTTATCCCAGCCGAGGAGCCTCATCCCGGGATCATAGCTGGTAAAAAGGCGAAACTCGTTGCCAAGTTTGCTAGAGTGTTGGGGTCGAAAACCACATGGATGCAACCCTAAAAGATCTGCTGCCGAATCCTTTTGCACCTCGCCTGTGGAGAAGATGCGATGCTGTTTAATTCGAGGCTCGACAAAGTGTAAAGGAAATAAATCTTAGCCCTGTTCTCTTTGAGAATTTTTTTGTAACTTTTTTACCATGCAACTATAGCAATTATTTTAATAAAATATATTATTTCATCTCACAAAATGTCACATCAAATACTATTTAGATCAAAATCAGAAGACAAACCCATACACACCCCTTATTGCTGCAATTTTTTTAAATAGAGAAGCCGAGCAACAACCATCGTAATTTCTTATAAAAATATATTATTTCATCTCACTTAGCATCATGCCAAAAACTACTATTTAAACAAAAATCAAAAGGCGAATCCAAACACACGCCTTATTTTACTCAAATCAAAACGGTGGATGAATGTGAAGTATTGTGGGAAGTTTTTAAATAGAGAAGCCGTGCAACGAACCAATATGTCTATTGAAAATATGGTAACAAAAACACAATGAGGTAAATCCAATTAGGAGATAGTAATACTAACACAAATCAAGAAATCAAATAGGACTCTTGACACGTCTCACCAACAAAGTGAAATCACAAAAAATCAAGCTTCGTAAACTTGGAGCATAGAAGAACGTAATCGCTTTCATGCCTATTAAAAATGTCACTATCGTCAATCTAATTTATGTTCATCTATGTCGCAAAGTCTAATCTTATGTGTACGAGGGACAACAAAGTAATGAAGAAAATGGTTTGAAGAAACACAAAAAGAGGCCGCATATTCAAGAAAGGCATAATCCAATTTCGATATGTAGAAACAAGAGTAAAACACAATTGAAGTGATGACTACGAATCCCACCTGTGAGTAATAGGATGTAAGATTCTCCGGGTGCTGATAGAAGTTTGATGGTTCCTGCAACTTTCTCTAAGCACTCCTTGCTCTGACAACAAAAAATTTAATGAAGGGCACACGATGAGATAGTTTGCTTTTCTTAAGTGACTATTCAGCTATTTACAATCATATATCGATTACTTATCTATTCAAATTTAAGAAACGAACTTCTACTATCCATTATGTTGAAAGATGGAAAAACACGCCACAAGTCTACAATGTTCTTGTTATATGCTCCGGATTTGATTTCCCAAAGGAAACAGACACCATTTAAATCAATAAACAGAAATAACCAACAGATTTTCAATGTAAAACCGAGTGTTCCGTCACATCCCTAATTCCTTTCCTAATACTAACAATGGGTGTCTTTTCTTGTCATATGCTTTGACACTTCGAATGAAATCAATTTCTTTGCCATTAGACTTCAAAACTTCTGAAACCAAATTTTAGTGGCAAAAGGATTTTAAGTTAGAGAATATCGATAGTTCGAAGATGAGTGTTCTACAAAAAATGTAAATCTTAGATTTTTTCTAAACTCCCTAACTGATCAAGTTCTATTAACATTCTTATGGCACAAGAAATACGAATTCATGACAATTTTTGAAACAGATAATATAACAATAATTTCCATAACTGTAGGCTTTTACCAGATAAGGAGGATCTGCAACGACAATAGAAAACGAGTGCTTCAATGAGGATGGAAGATCCACAGGGTTGTTGTAATCGTAAAAAGTGAACTCATCCCCATATTGTTCAAACCTCTTGTCATACTCAAGAATCTGTGCTGGTAATTCCGGTACAATCTTCTGAATTTTCCAAAGAAAGGGATCAAAAAACAAAGCAATCGAAATTCCAGCAAGCAAAGCGCATATGAATGTTGTAATATGCATGGCTGTTCAAGGATTAGAGATTGCTACCAAATCACCAATTCTACGAAAAATTCGAACACAATAAATCGGATAAAGTAACACAACCAAATAAGGACGAAGCAGAAAATCATGCAAATGCTGCAATCCGTATGTCCGTACTAAAACAGCATCTCATGTCAACAATCCAGTTGATGATTGAAGAAGATTTGAAGAACATCAAGCAAATCGACCTAAAATATGCACTCATGAATGAAAATGGAGATAAGCATAATCTCAAAACTAACAATCCACCCAAATTCCAACAGAAAGCAAAAAACACGACCATAATAAAAACAAAAAATCTACAGAATTACAGAATCGAGGAGCTTTAAACAGTAAACAGCACCTCGTTAGCCGTTCCGAGAAGAAATCCCAAGCATTAATCGAATACCTTGAGATACGCATACAGAGTGGGGCAAGCAATGCACGCAACGCGGGGAGATGGCACCGCCTTACACAGAACACCGACTTCCGCGGCGACGGTTTCCGCTGTCCGCCGATCGTACCAGAACTGACTCAGCCGCCAGTCCTCCGACAGCAACGTCACCTCCTCCTCCTCATCTTCCGCCGCTTTAACCTCCCGGTCCTGTTCTTCGAGGAACTCCTTGAGCGCCGCCAGAGCCTGCGAACTCAGCACCGGAAAGTCATCATCACCGCCGCCCTCCGATGCGCCATTGTCAACTCCGCCGCCGCCGCCGCTCGTTGGAACCTCGAAATCGGTATCAGTGCCTGAAGTCATCTTCTAGAATGTGGGTTAGCGGCCGTCCCCGACCGGGCTATATAAACCGCTCGGACCGTATGTCGGACCGGACCGGACGGCCTAAACCGGTTGTGTGTGGGCCTTCAATATATGGTAAATCGGGCTGGATTGGATCTCTAATCAAGGCCCAAGTATAAGTTAGTAAAGGGCGGCCAAATTCGGTATTTGGTCCTTGACCAATAATTCGTATATAAAATTTAGCGGGGATAATTTCAGGTCAACCCGATTTTTCGTTCCGGACGGGTCAGATTAGTTTCAAGTTTGTGTCGGGCGGGTAGACCCGGCCTGATTTTGGATCAAGCCTAAAAACTCATACCCAAACAAGGTCCGACTTCAAATCATGCTGCCCAGGCTAGACGATTTTTAAATTTTTTAAATTATATTTTTGTTATTGATAATTAAAAAATTAAACATTAAATATATAGTTAACTTTTTATTTTATTATATATTTAATATATTTTTAAAAATATTCACTTTAGTTATTTTGATAAATTGAATAGATAGGAATGGCTCAGTTTTTCAACCGTGACGATTTCGTCTGGTCCGATAATATTTCAGAATTAATTTCTAAGCTCAAATTTTTATATTTTGGGTCGTATTTATGTTTGGCGGCTCCAATAAAATTCAAATGATTCAAAACCTCATATATGTATGAAAAAATACATTGCAAGTTTATTTTATATTTTTGGATGAATATATTATGTTAGGTATAAGAAATCATAATATAAAAATTATTGACTTTTCATAGATAAATAAAAAATATTTGGTGAACAAACCTTCTTCTTCAACGTGTCTTGTGTATTACTATTATATATTATCTATTCATACTATAATCGATTTTATACTTAAATCAATCATATTATATGTTATATAGACTACTACAATGTGTAGTCGATATCATGCATTTATATTATTCTTTATGTTCCATTCCAATGTACTTTTGGATTTTGTAATATATTAAAAAATAATACTTTATTTTATTTATTATTAAAAGTGTGTAAAATATTTTTGTAATTTGAAATGGATAGATTAATTATACGTGCAATGCTATATTTGTAATTTATACATTTATATAAAAAAGCAACTTTATTATTATTATTTATATATATATAAATAATAATAATAAAGTTGCTTTTTTATATAAATGTGATTATTTTTATAGAGATATTTTTTAGCAAGACAAATAAAAATGATAAGAGATATTTTCAATTGAGACGAAAGGGGCACATATCATGCAACTTGTGTTAAAATTAAACATAATATGTATAGTATGAATTATTATCATGTATTAATACTAATCCTCCCAAATATTTTGGTCTTTTTTATTACCAAAAGAACAAAACTTAGAACAGAGAATATGGAATCAAGAAGGAGCCATGAATAAACATTCACATAAAGCATGCACACAAAGCAACATAAAATCTAATATAAGCAGAAAGAATCAATTCCCTCTCTCAGAAACCCAAAAGCAACCATTTCGAACATCCCAATCTGTTTCTAAACCTCAATATTCCATCTTATATATATATATATATGCAAAGTTGAATCGAAAGAGACAAATCAATACACATACAAATCAACAAAAACAAGCTCAAAGCTACCATGGAAAGAAAAGCAAATCAAGCAGGTGTGCACGAAGAATTCGAACCATTCTGTAAATGGAACCGCGGTGAAGATCGAGACATTCTCGAAATTCACCTCCAAGGTCAGTATCTATGTGTGTGTGTGTTTAATTTAATTTGCAATTCCAATGTTTCGCAATTTATTCGTACCTTGATGATTGTGGAAGCAGATTTCAAAAAGGATCATCTGAGAGTGCAGTTCAGCAACCAAGGCATCCTCAAAATCTCCGGTGAGCGTGAGATCGACGCGTCGAAGAAATCCAGATTCTACAAGGAAATTCCAGTCTCTACGAGCACCTACGACACGTCGGCAATCCAGGCGAAATTCGTCGCCGGTTGGCTCCAAATCACGCTTCCCAAGCGTGTTCATGCTCCGGAAACCCCCAAAATTGAGCAAACCCTAAAACCGGAGCCGGTCGCCCCCAAATTGGACCAGCAACCGAAGGCGGAGGCGCCGCCGCCGCCGCCTCCGCAACCGAAGCAAGAAATTGACGACTCAGGCATTGCCTGCGCTCCTCGGAGGCGGAATCGCGCGGTGACGGTGGCGGCGACGGCGGCCGCACTGGCGGTGCTCGCTGCTTACGTTGTGTATATTTATAAGTCGACCGTTGGAGAAGGAGACAATTAACTATGCTGGTGATTCTCTGGTTTGAAGAAGAGTCGCAAACGCGCTTTATATATTAATTTGGAATTGCCTCTCCAACAACACGATTTATCGTGTGATGTGTATGAAATTACTATTCTACCCTCTGGAATTTATTAAATTGTGTACATTACATATATATGTGTAATGATGAATATTCTCAATAATCGAACGCTGAATTCGAAAGTGTTTTTTATGGTTTGTATTTTAATTTGATTTTAAAATCAGTAAAATCAGGTTTTCCACCAAAACTCATTCAAACATCTAAAATATGGTGAACTTCCAAAACATGATTGTAACACAGTTATAACAATCTACTGTCAAAAACATGAATACAAAAATTCAAAGCCAAGACAAGGATTTGTTAACTCGATTCGGTTATAAATCAACCTAGATTCGGGGATACCAATCAAGAAAGAATTTAACTAATCAATTCTGATTATAGAACATAGACAAACCACGAACTCCTTCAACCCATATCTCAATAATTGTTACTTTGGAAACTCTTTCATGGGCTTAAGTTGTCACAAACTCATACCGACAATTACCATAGAGCATGACTGTTAAGAATTTGGACATTTCTCCTGATCGAAACTCTGATAACTTCTTCATCCTACGAACTTTTCGGCATGTCAAAGTGTCAAACATTCGTTTAGAACATGGAGAATAGAGGGGATAGAGTGAGAAAATCAAATTAAACTTCCTCTCTCTAAAAACAATTCTCAAAACCCTATACACAACCAAACACTCACATCGGTTTACAAAACAACCACCATGTTGTGCAATTAAAAACAAACTCATTAATTTCCTCTGCACATAAATTGAATGATGTGTTTCTACGAAAATCTGATGACAAATTGACTATCCAAAATAATTCATTTTGTTTTGTGTGTTCACCAAATCGAGAAGGGACAAAACATACCAGGGTTGTTAATCTGAGGGTCAACACTCAGCACTGCTACATTTGGTTTATGACAGTGATAACAACAAGAATGAGGTTTGACCATATACCAAAACAAATAATAAGGTATTTTTTTTATTATTATTATTTAACAACTATTCTAATTTTTTTTTTAAAAAAAATATTAAATCAAATACTTAATTTTTATTTATTATATTATATTAAAATTTAATTTTATATTTAAAATATCAAATAAATACATATTTATCATACGACATCAAATAACTAATTCAATTCAAAATTTTACTATTTAAAACCAAAATCAAAATCCCACGTATAAACACTTGTTTCTCTATCGCCAATAAATAAATATTTATATCGATCTTTAAAACTCTCAATTTTTTTTTTACAAAATTTAATTTATATTAATAATAAATAAATAAACATATTTTTTATTCAATTGTAGTAGTATAAAAATTTATCTCATTCATTCACTTATATATCTTCAAAGTTACTCTTATTTTATTCACAATCAAACTAATATGAATACAATATTCATTGTTTTATACAATTAAGCTTAGCCCTCACGTGCAAGAGATATATGCCACCATATGAAATTTGTATGTGAACGACGGTGAATGAAGGAGGGTCAGACTCGTGGCTTTAATATTACTCCCTCCGTTCGAAATATCGTGTCTGCTACACTGTAGATACAGTATTTTAAAAGGAGTATAATTACTGTATAGTTAAAAATATATTAATGAAAATAATTATCCTATCATATAAATTAAGATGAAGATTAAGATAACTAATTAGTTTAATTAAAATAAAATTAAAAAATTTAAAATGAGATTAAAATGTATAATTATTTTTTAAAAAAAGAAAGTGACATGGTATGTGGGACGGACAGAAACGGCAACGTGGACATGGTATTTAGGACGGAGGAAGTATATGAAAAGAAATTTTATAGATGGTTCAAATAGACAATCAATAATATTATTCATAATCAAAATATGGACGTACATATATAGGTATAATATAACAAATTTGATATACTCAAATCATAGTAATTTTAACATAATGAATAAAACTAAATCTAATTTAAATTTGTGGATTTTGTGTTTATGATTTCAATAGTGAAAATTGACTTTGAAATAATTATATAATGTGATATAAATAAAATTAGATTAAATATCTTAAATTTATTTTTAATTTTTAGTATAATACTATACATATTGAAAAATAAACATTTAAAAAAAATTGTAAGAATATGAAATTGAAATTCTCTATTGTATATATTTATAGTGATATACAATCTATTGAACAACTGCCATAAATATAATATATTACTTTTAAATATATTTTACAAAAATAATAAATAATAAAATCTTAAAGTAAAAACCCTCGAAGACGCATCCAATAATTAAAATGTCTAACATTTATTAAAATTTATATTCATGTCATATAAGCTAGAAGGAGCATATGTTTCTTTAAGAAGAGTAATATATTTATTTTGTTACATATAAAATGTTCAATATTTTTTATTTATTTTGTCCCTTCTTATATAATTTTTTTATTTTATTTTTAAAAAATTGCTTATACACTTTCACTGTATACTAAATTTTATTATTTATATATATTTTTATTAAATTTTAATTAAATTATTTAATTACGTTAATATTAATTAATATTAATGTTTTAATTATTTATATTATATAATAACTATTTTTAATAATATGTTTTTATTTACTTAATATGGAAGACATGAAGTAATTAATAAATGGTAACAAAATAATTTGGAAAATCTCAGACCTAATTTATTTACGGAATCAGCACTATAAAAAAGAATTGAATTCAATGCTAATCCGCGACATCTACAAATAAAAAAATAATAATAATAAATAAATATTTGCAAAAAAAAAAAAAAAAAAAAAAGGAATCCTTCTCAGTTCCGAAAACACCGGGGCGGTGGAAGAGACAATCGGCGCTGCCTGCACCGCCTCAATGCCTCCGAAATCGGCGTCCGCCGTTCCGACGGGCAGAGCTTCTCGATTAACGGCTAGGAAGCGTATTCCAAGCCACAGTTCAGTCGTCCGTGCTCGTGCTGGATCTTCTCCGTCGGCCTCCGGTGGCGGCAGTTCCGCTTCGATGGCCAAGGGCAACCGCCTTCCACTCACCGATGTTCCTGCTTCTTTTGAATGTTCAAAGGAAACTGACCGCGACGGTGCTTCTGATACGGTGGTCGGCGCCGGAGAGAGTCCACGCGCGGGGACTCCTGTTTCCGAGGCGCAGTCCGTAGGTTTGAAGAAAACCCTAGCTACTGTTTCGGAGGCGGTAAAGCTTGATACGGAGGGTGTTAAATGTGACCGTGCTGAGAAATTGGGAAATTTAATCAAGCCTGCGAACTCTGGGGGTGAATATTTGGCGTCTGATAAAATCCTTCCTGACAGAGATACAGTTGATTCTCCTTCGACTGCAAAGGCGGGAAACGGAAAGAAGAAAGTTGTGAGGAAGACTGTAAGAATTGTCAAGAAGATAATTAAAAAGCGAGTGCCGAAGAAAATTTTAGCGAGTGATTCGAAAGATCTTGGAACATCGGAGAAAGCGCAAGATGGATTGAATTTGATCGACCAAACCCTAAGTTCAAATATTGGGAATGGTGAGGGGAGAGGGACGGAGGCAAGAAATTTGGGTTGTTTAAGCCATGTTGATGTGGAAAACTGTAATAAGGTTATGGAAGAAGGAAGGATCACAGCTAAGGGAACTCAAGAACTGAAGCTCGTTGGTAGTGATGGCGAAAAGGGAAATGATCAAAGTGGAATTGATTCTGTGAATGGAGAGAGTTTGGAGTTCCAGTCTAGTGCGAATGTTTCGGACAGAATGATGGATGAAGGATGTACCAATCGACATGGGGGAGATGCTGCATGTTCAGATGTACAGGGCAGTGAAGTTGAAAACTCAATTCAAGAGGGAACTGTGAATCATACTGTTGAAACTGTTACGAGTTTGAAGGAGATGAAAGATTCTTCGCCGGAGAATCGAGCAAGTGTGTCTGTTGTGCAAACTCTGACTGTGGATATTGTTGATAAAGTCGATGGGCGGCTAATTGAGCATCAAGATGTGCGTCTAGAGGGAGAAAATAATGAGGTTTTGGCTGTGGGAGAAAATGAGAGGAAGATTGAGGAACCTGAAGATGACTGTGGTGAGATGAAGCATGATAGTGTTAAGTTTCCGGAGTTACCAATTAAGGAAATGGAGGCATCAGAAGAAAAGAAATGGCAAGAAACTGAGATATTTGTTGGTGGATTGGACGAGTATACAAATGAGGATGACATTAGGAAAGTGTTCGATGAAGTTGGGAAAATACAGGGGGTGAGGTTGGCGATGAGAGGGAATGCAGGCAAGAACAAGGGTTTTGCCTTTGTGCATTTTGTTACGGTTTCTGATGCCAAGAAGGCATTGGAAAGTTACTCTAAAGTGGAGGTAACTTTCTAGCCTATTTTCCATAAGTAAAAGTTTCCTTATATACTTCAAAGTAAATTTACGTAATTGATTGTGTGATTACATATGATGATGATGATGATGATAGTGATGATGTGTTGGTTGCTTTTTTGATTTGTTTTGTATGGCATTATCTCGAATGTCTTAAACTAGAAAAACTTAGCTTCGAGATGTTATATTGGTAATAGAAGAAGATTAAGTTTTGTGTCATGTTGAAATTGTTAGTTGATCTATCTTTTGTGACACGTGTACGCCTTCAGATATATTCGTAATCACACGTGGTTTAAGATTCAAGGAAAAAGAAAGGAGAAAGACTAGTCATAATAAATTCTAGTTTATCCAACTGATTTCTAGGCATATAGAATCAGATTAAGCACCTGCTTGCATTTAAAATTCTAATTCTGTCACTACTTTTGGACTTTGACAATAACAAACATGCTTTACATGCCTAAGAAGTCAAACAAAGAGCGGTCTTTGAACCATTGATCTCTATGAACTTTTTGAACTGTTGTTACACCAATCTGCCGGACAATTTAGTTGAGATAACTGTGTAATGTCATTAACAAAATAAAGTGGCAAGAAACTGAGATCTTTGTTGGTGGATTGGACAAGAATACAAATGAGGATGACATTTGGAAGGTGTTAAATCAATCTCACCGATTATTATTGCATTCAATATTTCTTCTTTGAACGGTATTTAAACAGTCTTGGTTTTATTTACATTTTATCATATTGAATTTTCATATCAGGTATTTACTGATAACAAGCATTACTTATGTTTTCCTTGACTCGACTACACTTCCATGATATTTTTTGTAGCTATCTCCGAGCATAGGCCATTACCTGTCATGCTACTCCTACAGAATCTTCTTTCTGTCATCACAAGACTTATTTCTATTTCTTATGCTCTTTATCTTTATTATTCAATCTTAGATTCGCGGGAAGCAGTGTAGTGTGGTACGTGTTGAGCCCAATGATACAATATTTCTTGGAAACATTGCCAAAAACTGGAAGACTAATAATGTAAGCAATATTTATTGTGCAATGATTTTGTCCTACAACTCATTTGAGTAACTGATGTAGCTTAAGATTGTTCTTTTGCAGGTTTTGAAATTTTTAAAGTCAGTGGGCATTGAGAAGATATGTAAAGTTATACTTAAGACTGATCCCAAAAAGTCTCAGAAAAATCGAGGTTTTGCCTTTGTTGAGTTTGAAACATGCAGGGATGCTCAAATTGCTCTTCATAAACTCCAAAAGAAGGATGCTTTTGGAAGAGACCCAAGGGTGACTGCTGAATGGGCACGACCCCTAGTTGACCCGAATGAGGAAGTCGACGAGGTCAGTTTTCTTGGAAATGTTACTATTAGTAATCAAATAATTTCATGGCTCCTCTTGTTTGTTTGATTTCAGTATCTATAGCTATTAACCTCTTTATACACTCTGTATTGCACCTACATTTGCGCTGTTTCCTGTCCATTTTTCGCAACAAAAAAGTGCTATTCATTTAAGTAAACTTGATACTGGTTGTACCTAATTCATAGTAGAGGTACTGTCTTCATCCAGGTGAAAACTGTTTATGCTGAATGTCTACCTTTTGCTTGGGATCAAGAAAAAGTGAAAGAATACTTCAAAAGATTTGGTGAAATCGAAAATGTTACCTCTGGGAAGGGCCTGCCTTCATCCAGGAGACAAGATTCTGCCGTCATTAGATATAAAACCCGTGACGCAGCTTTTGCTTGCATTGAGGCTATCAATAGAGAGATATTGGAGGATGGCGGCTCCAAGGTTGTGCATTTCTTTGACTTTTTGGTGGTGATTAATATCTAAAAACTAAAATTTCTTATTTAGGAATTAATCTCTATGTTAATGATAAATTTAGGTTAAGATCGCTGTCTCTCTTGCAAAATCAATTCCAAAGTGCAAGCAAACGAATACCTCTGATCTGACTAGTAAGCAACCCTTCAAAGCCAAGCCAAAGGGATCACAAAGTGAGTATTATCTATTTCTTTCATTGTTGCTTAAATATTTAATCAATCAAAACCATCGAGATTAAAACATGTGGAAGTTATACGGTAATGATTGCCATTTCAGTTGAAAGTAGTTCTTCTGTCTAGAAGTATTCAGAAAGTTACTTTATATCGTTTTTAACAGAATGCTAGGAGAAATTTTTAAAGTTATATTTTATTTTTGAATCTTTTATTTTGTACTTCTGTTTTTTACTTAATGCATGTGTCAATTCACATTTAAGTAAGTGATTTTTAAACCTTGAATTGTGAGAGAGAACTATGATTTATTAGCCCCTTTTCAATGTAGGAGCCAAATTATACAATTTTATTCTTAAATTATTTGTAATTTGTAGCTCATGCAAACTGCATTTATATTCGTAATAAACGCCTAAGTTAGATATTTTATGGTGGTTGCTGTGCAATAAAGAATCCTCTTACTGGATGTTGGATTCTATATTATTTCACTTTCGAATTTTAACTTTCTATATTATTGTAGAAAGATGAAAGGTCCTGGTTTTGTAACTTCTATACGAGTGCTTAATGCATTAGAGCATCAAGTTACATATGAATTCAAATGTGTACTTCTGATTTTTTATTTTTATTTTTTTGTTTTGTAGCCTCCAAAAGGTTTCATGAACCCCAAAAAACGGGAGACCCTGCCAGGAGTAGCCATCATAATATCAAGTTTGATAGCAGACCATCTACTACTGATGAACTCGTACAACTTCTGAGGGAACAAGCATCAAGTAACCAGGTCCTTCAATATCCCAGGACAGGTAATGGTTGGGTCTTACATATCCATGCGCCGCGTTTAGTTTGCTTACCCTTATTTTTGAGTTTCTTTAAATAAACAATGCCTTCTGTTCTATTTAAAACGACCCTCATTTCTTTATCTTCATTGCATTTTGACATGCTGTAGTTCCTTGGCGCCTTCCATGTATGCATACCTTCAAAGTGTTTAATCTCTTTATTAACCTAGTTCAAATTAAAAGATTGTAGTATTTTTGTTATCCCGAAAACATGTGCAATATGTGTTACTTTGTACCAAATGAAGTAGATAAGTGCCTGCAAGACAATGCCAAAGACGTTCAACATTGTTAGTTGCGGATTAGGGTAAAAGCATGAAGTAGACGTTGTTGTATCAATGTAATATTGATAATATTTACTTCTGCTTGCATAATTTAGTACACAATATATATATATATATATTTCCTTGGAATTTCCATCATGTACTCAATAGCATTTCTGAGTTTTTTCGCGTAAAGGATGTTTTTATGGTATAATCTTAGTTTAGTGTGATACCAAAGTCCTGATCACAACCAATATTACAATGATTCTTTAATTTCTGGTCGATTAGAGACGAGCTATCCAGTGTTCTAATACAATCTTTTGATGATTTTTATATGCAAACTTTCAATTTTTATTATTTTTTGAAAATATTTTTTACTCATACCCCGCCTTGCTAATGGATTCAGAAACCTACAACTCAGTGGAAGTTTGTTTGAAGATTGAAATCTTTTGTGTTCATTTTGTTATGCATATCTCAAATGAAACTAAGATGTGGCCTCGGTCCTTCAACCGTTCTACATTTCTTTTTGGGCAGGTCCCACTGTTCCAGATTATCATTTTCCGTTACCTGGGAGCAAGAGGCCGTACTCACTAACTACAAGTTACCAAACGGTTCGAATATTCTGCCCTTTTTATTATTATGATCATCATTCCTTTTCACTTTATAGTCTACAGTGATCAACACAAACACACAACTAGGCTCTTCTTTTGGTGTATTCAGGCACATGATCCCTTCTATTCCGAGTGTCGCCCCCCGCCACAGATGCGTATAGGAAGTTCTTATCCCATCTCAGCAATGAGGTTCTAAATCTTTAAAGCTTGCCAAACTAATTCCTATGGTGTTTTTGAGTTTATCGCCAAACTTTAGAGTGCCTTTGGTTGTGGATTTTCTTTCTAAAAAACATCAAAATCAAATCAAATACCTATGATGTATTTACTGTATTATATTAAAATTTCAGTTTTCATTCAAAATACTACATTACACATATTTATATCACCTCAAATAATTATTTCAATTCAAAATCCAAACCCCACAACCAAACATGTCCTTAATGTCGAGCATCATTCATGCATGATTATCACTAACTTGATCATCAATCTCCAGTTCCTCATCCTATGGTTACGATCAACCGCCTTTTCTGTATCATCAAGAAAGGCCTGGTTTCACATCCGGTAGGTCCATGTACACGTTTTACCTTTTTACTTAATTTTCAAGTTGTGACCTGTAGTAAGATTCTTTCTTTTTGTTTTTTCGTCCGACTCTCTCAGAATATGTTGGTGGAAGGAGATACTATCCTGATGACTTTCAGGTACAGAAGTCTCACATTTCTTTTAAGTTCTTTTGTCAATTATAGGAAACTTTTATGGAGCTTTCGCATTCCTTTGGGACCTCTAAATGTTTTTTTTTGGGATTCTATTGTGGTCCAAACGACTTATTTCAAACCATCCATTTAACCATCATAATACTCGCTCCATCCCACCTTCTGTATCCGGTTTACCTGGATGCGGGAATTTAGGTAAAGTATAGTTTGTAATTATAGATTAAAATTAAGATAACTAAATAGTATAATTAAAATTTTTTTAAAAAATTATAAATTATGAGATGTAAAATGTGATTAAAATGTATAATTATATTTCCTAAAAAGATGGAACGAATGGAGTAATAAGTTCGATTAGTTACATATTCCTAAGCATATATTGATGTTCAAGATTCTGTTGAATTTGATAAATGCATAAGTAACACTTGTCACCATTACGACTGTCTAGATTTTCCAAGCCGGGAGATATTATTTCTTTATAGTCTGTTTTGATATCCCTTTTCCATTTCTTTCTACAGGCAACGCAGCAGCTGCTGCCACCACCGCCGCCGCCACCCCCATACCATGGACACAGTGATAATACATACCGAAGATGTAAGTGAAATCTCAACATTCTCTCGCCTTTATTGGTGTGTTTATTTGGCAAAGTTTCTCAATCTTTTACCATTTGGGCTGTGTCTTTTTTCAAAAAAGAAAATAAGCACACCCTACATGATTACGAGTTTTGTGTGTTCATATTATGCCTCCCTTTACTATTCGACTTTGTTTTCGGTTAATTGCCTTGTCAATCTTTGAAATTGTCATTCATATCGTCTTCTTGGGATGGATTTGTGGTTGTTTTGCAGACTGAGGAGGCATTCTATGGAGAAGGAAAGTAGAGAGATTGACCTATAAATTATTTTGGTAGCTAGGGGGAGATATATATACATATATAATTGATCATGATTTTATTGCAAAGGGAAAACCAACAATTAGGCGGGGTGGGGGTGGGGGTGGGGGTGTGGGGTAACAAACCAACCAAGCCAAGGCTGCTTATGGATGAAAGTTTTCTGACATTGACTGACTATGGATGAATGAAGGTACAACACAAACCACATGTTTTGCTAAATGTGTAAATGGATTCGTTATTGAACTTATACAATATGCATTTTGCTACTGTTTCTTTTTGATCGCCCCTCTGGTCCTATATTTGAATTTTATTGTTTGAAAAGTTTAGAGATGGTAAAAAGTGTATATATTTATTGTTACAAAAATAGATTAAATTATTTTTGAGGTGTGTTTAAATTACGTTTTAAGTCAATATTAATAAAATTATCACTGTTTCCTTCTATTTTGAAGCTCATTTCTATGTTATTTAATTTATTGTTTTTATTTCTAAAAGTACTATGGGTGTGATTCTTTAGGGAATTTGAGAAATTTGAGTTTGATTTTTATTTCAACTTTGAAGTGGGTTTGAATTTATGTGTTTGGATTGAGCTTGAAAAATTTTGATATATATATTATTGATTGATTGTAATGAATATAAATGTGTATTCATTTGTATAATTTGATTTTAAATTTATTTTATATCTACATATATATTTATAAATTTTTATTTATTTATACTATAAAAAAAATTTCTTTACAAAATAACATATATATTATATATATTTTATTCAATTAAAATAATTATAATTTTTAAAAACTAAAAACTAAAAAAAGAATAAAATATAAATATAAATATAAATATAAATAAATAAATAAATATTTGATATATATCTTCTTGGAAAAATATACTATATCATTGTTACAATGTATATGTATATATATTAAGTATCTTCAACAGCAAAATAGACAGAACAAACAAACAAACCAACAGAGTCTAACACATAAACCACAGCACCCCCAAATCGAAGAGAGGATTTTTAGGATCACAATTGACAAAAAGCAACAAACCAAAACTCTGTATATCTAATCTAATCAAATCAAATCAAATCATCAAAACCACACACCCATAACATAACATAAAAAATATATATATATATATATTATATTGGTAACAAACAGGTCAGGTGTAGTAGTACCTTGTGATAATTTCATTTCATTTGGCGCTTCCCAGCTGCGCCCGGATTTGCTTAGCCGCCGAGACCACGTTCTCCAGCGCCGGCTTCACCTCCGTATACTTCCTCGTCTTCAGCCCGCAGTCGGGATTCACCCACAACACGTTCGACTCCAGCACCGCCAGCATCTTCCCGATCCTCTCCGCAATCTCCTCCACCGACGGGATTCTCGGCGAGTGGATATCGTACACCCCCGGCCCAATCCCCGCCCCGTACTTCACCCCCTCCCGGAACACCGACAGGAGCTTCTCGTCCGACCGCGAGTTCTCGATCGTTATCACGTCCGCGTCCATGTTGATTATCGAGTGGATTATGTCGTTGAAGTTGGAGTAGCACATGTGCGTGTGGATCTGCAGCCGTCGTCAGGAATTTAAAATTTAGCGAAACGACATGAACACGATCGAATCGAGCGGTGAAGTCGAATACCTGAGTGGTGTCTTGCACGCCACAGTTGGTGATTCGGAACGAGTGTACGGCCCAGTCTAGGTAGAATGCGTGCTCGGCTTTCCTCAGCGGCAGCCCTTCTCGCAGCGCCGCTTCGTCGATTTGGATTACGGTGATTCCCGCCTTCTCAAGATCCTCGACTTCGTCTTTTATGGCCAACGCTATTTGATAGCACGTTTCGAACCTACAATATACACCGATACCATCATAAAACATAACATCAAAATTATTGTTCAAATCAAATAAATATTATGTTATATTTTTCAGTTAAATTTTCTATTTACATAAATAAATAAATAAAAAAGCAATTCTTATATTGAATTACATTTTTTCCACTATCATTTCTCTATAATTTCATTTGTTATACCAAACATACCCTTAGTGTGTGACGGTATTTTTATAAATAGAGATAAAAGTAGAAATAAAATTAATAATTAGAAGCAGAGGTGACAAAAATAAGCCCGATCCAAAAATCGAATCCGAACCCGGCACCGAAAAAATCATGCTTGGACATAAAATGTTTTTGGGCCATGCTTGGCCCGGCCCGGTTTTTAGATTGAATAAATTTTTGAACAAATACTTTTTATAAATATATTAATAAATAAATATATGTCAAAAATAGAAAAGAAACCTAATAGTTGAGTTCTTATTTTATTACTTGTTTTATAATGTTTTAGAAAATAACTTTAAAAATAAAAAAAAATTACAACCCGGGCTGGCCTTGACCGGCACGGTTTGCCGTGCTACCGCGAACCGGGCCGGGCCTGTCCCGCCGCGGATTGGAAACGGGCCGGGCCAAAATTGCCACCCGTTATTAGACGGAGATTACATAGACTATAAATAAAAATGAGCTATTTAGGTGAGACGGAGAGGCATATATATATATATATACATATGTATAGATATTACCTCGGTTGGTCGTTTCGGACGAAAGACCAGTTGAGAATGGTGACGGGGCCGGTAAGCATCCCTTTCATGGGGCGCTTGGTCATGCTTTGAGCAGCAGTCGACCAGAAGACGGTCATGGGCTTGGGGCGGCTCACGTCCCCATAAATGATCGGCGGCTTCACACAACGAGATCCGTAAGATTGCACCCATCCGTTCGCAGTGAAGGCGAAACCGGATAGTTGTTCTCCGAAATACTCCACCATATCATTTCTCTGAAATTCCGACATCGACAAAATGTGAAATTACAATAAAATTTGCGATTTTGTAAAGCAGCATTCCGAAAACAAGCTTACCTCCGGCTCTCCGTGTACAAGAACATCAATGTCGAGATCTTCTTGAAGCTTGACGACTTTGTTGATTTCTTCCTTGATAGACTTTATGTACTCCTCCTCGGAAATCCTACGAAATAAGCATTGAGCGTTGCCTCGTCAATAAAAATATAATATTATTTTTTATATTACCGACGCGATTTCCTCTACCTTACATCAGAAATCTTCAAATCAAAACACTGAACAAACATTGTTTGGGGAATTTTTAGGATTTCTATTAATCCTAAAAATTATTTTCCCAAAAAAACCATCAAATTAAATACTCACTTATTGGCCTTGTACTCGCGGCGGACTCGTCTGAGTTCTATGGTCTGAGGGAAGGAGCCGATGGTGGTAGTCGGGAGAATGGGAAGGTTAAGCTTCTTCTGCTGAGCATCGAGTCTGGCGCTGACATTCGTAGCACGGCGATGATCGGAGCCCTTCAAAGCAGCAGCCTGGTCGACCAAAAGAAAATGACAGCCGCATTTTAACAGAAAGAAACGAAAAATTATCCAAATAACATGAAGATGAATTCACTTACCGACTTCTGTACAGCTGCATTGGTCACCCTGGGAGAGGATTTCCGAGAGGATTGAGCTGCGGCGTTGGCAGAGAAGTATGCCTGATGATTTTATCGAATTAGCCGATCAGATCTCTAAAAATATCAAGTCAAATAATTTTTCTATATATTATATTGAAAATCAATTTTACATTTAAAACAGCAGTACCTATTTACATCACATAAGACAACTATTTCAATTGAATATTTCAATATTCAAAATCCAAACACAAGTGGTATGCAAAGGATTGATGTATATACCTTATCTTTCTCACCGGCCAATGCCTTGGCAAGAGCATTTACTTCGACAACCTTTTGTGCGGCAAATGCAAGCCATGATTTGATTTCTTGGTCCAACTTAGGCTCGTTTTCCAGATCAACGGCAGTGTGGAGCAGTGAGCAGGATGTAGAGACAACAAGTTTATCTGTAGAGATATATATATATATATAGAACGAAATGAAACAATGGAAAAGAATAAAAATAAAAGATCGATATGTTTATAGGGATTAGGTCAGCTTATATACCCTTTCCTACTATGGCTTCAAGAGACTGCAGAGTTCGTAGAGAAGCGTCCAGATCACTAGCCCAGATGTTCCTCCCGTCGACAACGCCAGCAAAGAGGTATTTTCCAGAAGGAAATCCATCCTTGATCAAATCGAGCGTCTTTGTGCCGCGAACCAAATCAAAACCGTAGCCAGAAACACCGCTCAGGGAGGTAAGGATTTTGAATGCGGGTGCTGGTACATCGGCGAAATACGTCACAATCAGGACATTAAGGCCAGAAAGCGACGATTCCAGCTCAGCATAAGCCTTGGTGAACGCTTCCAACTGGTGGGATTCGAGATCCAAAACGAGGGTCGGCTCGTCAAACTGAATCCATGAAGCGCCTGCCGCCTTCAGCTCGGCGATAACTTCCCTGTCGGGATAAGCAATTGTTAAATAGAATTTGATATTCTCGACAATGATCGAAAAAACAGTGATTAAATGTTTCTTACTTGTAGATTGGAAGAATCTTGTCGAGAAGGGAAAGAAGAGGGAAAGTTTTCTCGACACCCTTGGCAGGTTTAGAGAGCAACAAATAAGTAACGGGGCCGATAAGTACTGGAACTGTATCGATGCCAAGCTGCATTGAAGAACACAAAATTAATCACGACACTTTATAAACATTGGAATTAGAAAATGCATATCGTAGAAAAGGGATAATCACAAGTACAGTTTACAGACTTCGTACCGCTTTAGCTTCTTTGAATTCATTCACTGCTTTGTGGGAAGCATACGAGAACTTCACATCAGGCCCCAATTCAGGGACAATAAAGTGGCTACATAGATCATAAAACCGATAATCGTTAAGCATATATAGTTTCATAAAGTTTAAACGACAGTAGTGCCAAAATTTTCAAAGAAAACTGCGGAAGCACTTACTAGTTTGTGTCGAACCACTTGGTCATTTCCATGGCAGGGACAGAAGCATTTCCTCTAGCCATCGAAAAGTAAGTGGAAAGACCAATCTCCCCACCTGTCCAATTGTACCTCGGTGGAACGGCACCGAGCATGGCAGTCGTATCGAGCACCTGATCATAGTGCGAGAACGTGTTGCTGGGAATGTACTTAATCCCGGCACCTGACATCTGCTTCCAAATCGATGCCCTGAGGTCAACCGATACCTTCTCCAAATCCTCGGCGCTGCTCTTTCCATCCCAGAAAGATTCGAGAGCAAACTTCAGCTCTCTTTTCGGGCCCATTCGGGGGTAACCGACAATGTGTGATGCCATGGTTCTGCTAATGCCAAAATCAATAACTTAAAACCATAAGATGAAACCATTTTCTAAACAGCTTCAAAGATCTACAAAATATGTACTAATAATGGCGAAAAGTTCATTTTCTAATCCAGCATACATTCAAGTTTTATATTTTTAATATATTTTGTCTTCATGTATTCAAAATAGCATCACATATTCACATATCCTACCAACCAAAAAGTTCATCAACTCCAATGGCTGCTCACATGCAAATCTGACATTTGTACGGATATGCAAATTTATATTAAGATTAAATTACAAGTAAGCTATGAAGCCTCCACAAGCATCTTCACCGTATTCAATTATTGAAAAACACAGCTATAAACAAGAGGAATAATTTAACTCCTATGGTCAAAACTGATCGTGCACTCAGATCCTATAGCTTTCTAGATTTAGTTAAAATTAAAATTAAGCTATGAAGTTTTCACAACCATAATCGCCATATCAAATATTGAATAACCCAAAACAGAGCTAAAATCAAGTGGAATAAATGAATAATTCAACTCTCCTGTGATCAAAACTGATTATACGACACTCAGATCCTACAACTTCACGAATAAAGCTCTCAGATCCAAGCATCAGAGCAAATTACTTGTTCAAAACTCGAAAATGCGACACAATGCAGACAGATTTAACCGATCTAAAAACATTGGGTAGCCACTTCATCTCAGATCTAATCAAACCAGAGCTCCAAATCCAGATCGAACGCCGAAAACAACCAAGTACAACTTATCCACACACTTCCAAAGCATAACCACGTTCCCCTCCGCCCAATCACGTCCGGCCACGACATTTCAGCACAATCAATACTACACATCCCGCCATCATCAATTAATGGAAACAAATCAAAACCGAAGATCTAATCACGCAGTGAGATCGCTCAATGGACTGAAAAAATTAATCAAACACTCTTACCAATTGATCTAACCCAGCGCAGCATAAAAATTAGAATAATCATAACCACTAGAACCACGAATCCATCACTCCTCGAGCAATACAACCAACAAAATAGGTCTCAAAACAATAAAAAATTCGAAGAAAACGAAGTGCGCAAAACACTGCGGGCCATAAATCCGTACCTCAAAGGCGCGATTCAACCAAATGCTCCGAGGCAGTGTACGCAGGAGGCGAGTTTGGAGTGATGACTGATGGGTTATATTTATAGAGGAAAGTCGGCGTATCTAATAATACATCAATAAGTACGCTTAGGTTTTATTTGGTAATAACTTTTTTTAAAAAAAAAAAAAAATGAATTTTGATTTTTTTTTAAAAAATGTATAAGAATAAAAAAATAAAAATGTCTAAAACCTTTTGATTTATTTTTCTATTTTTGTTGTTTCAAAACTTTTATCCTTTAATAATTATACTACTTATGTATTAAAAATATACAACATATTTTCATCCTTTCATATAAATTGCACATATTTTTCTTATAAATATTTAACTGAGAGAGTACTATTATTATTTTAGGTTTTACTATTTTTTTAAGTAAAAAAAATACAATGGATATATTTGTTTTGTAAAATAATTTAAATTAATTTTTTACATGTTAAGTATAAATACTTGTATAGTTAATATAAGAATAATGAATATTAATAATTTTTAATTTTTAAAAATATTTTTTTTTTTAAGAAAAAGAGCACACTCTATATTTTCTTTAAATATTACACTATATTATTATTTAAAACATGAATAAGGAACAATACCCTTAATTTAAATTTATTTTTTTATATGTTTATATTAGTAGAAATATGAAAAGAAAAAAATTGACATTTTTATATTTTAATTTTATGTATAAAATAATTATGAGTGAACCGACTAAATAATTAAAAAAAATTACTTTAAATTTAAAGGGATGAAGTATATTGATTTATAGTGATGTAAATTATTAATATCTCAATAAGTAAATAAATGTAAATTTAATATAAATTAAATAATACTCTATCCGTTCCATAATTATATATCTATTTGCTTTTTGTATGAAATAGTATTATATTGAAATATAGTAAGAATAAAGTTGAAATTACTAAAATGACCTTATTAGTATTATGTGATATAAAGGTAATGGTATTTGTGTAATATATTGGAAGTTGTAGGGGTATTTGTAATAATACATTTACTAAAAAAAATTGAATATTTTGTTATAGAAGAAAAAATAGATACTTTGTTATGGGACGAAATGATTACTTATGTAAGATATTTTCATTATAAATATGGACAATAGCGAATAATATTTTATATTTTCTCCGTTTCAAAACAATAGTCTAATTTTGTCATTTTTATCCATCTCAAAACAATAGTCTAATTTTCATTTTGTTAACAAATTCGTCGTTTTTTTACAAAATTATCTCCATTTTTTCGCAATAATTACATAAAACAGAGGTATTTTCACATTTTAAAAATATTTTTACATCTACTATCAATATAATTCTATTACTCCCCCCGTCCAGTTAAAAATGATACATATTTATATTTTGGGACGTCCAATTACAAAGTAATTATTTTATTAAATATCCAATTTTTTTCACAAATACCCCTACTTTACATCACATCGTTACTTTTATACAAAAAAAAAAATAAAGGCAAAAATGTCATTATATTACTTTTACCTACCCACTATAATTAAAATACTATTATTCCTTAATCTCCGCGCCAAAAGTAATTGTATATTTTTAGTTTGGACGGAGGGAGTATTATTTAATGTAAAAAATTTTTTCAACCTTCTAATCGATCTAGCGCGTGTTCTCACGCGGTCAAGGAACGCCTAGGTTAATAATACAGTGGTTATTGTTGAGGGCAATATTGTCAAAACACAAATAATCAACAAAGGGTTGGTGGCTGTTGTAGTTGGTGGCATTCCACCTGGGCCATCCACGTCACGAGCAGTGTGAAATACCCAAAATGCCATCAACTAACTAGGGTTAGTAGGATTAGGTAAATGGTCCCGCTCTTTAAATAATTAAATAAAAATTCATAACATATGCAATTGTCCCTAACCAAAAAAGAATTCCCAATGGAAAAACGTGAAAAGTTGTCTTGTTGTACATTTGAAAATTAATCTTATTATTATATTTAAATTCAATATAAAAAATGCTACACACGTTATTCATGACAATTAGTGACATCGATAAAAATTAAATAAAAAATATATACTCATGTATATTTTATTAAAAGATTTTGTGTGTTTACTCGAGGAATTTGATTTTGGATTTTATTATTTTAATTTTTTTTTTTCAAAAAAATTAAATTAAACACTTATTTTTTATTTATTATATTATATTTAAATTAAATTTTACATTCAAAATACTATATCGATACATATTTATATCACATCAAATAGTTATTTCAAGTTAAAATTTTATCATTTAAAATCAAAATTTTACAAGTAAACACACCTTAATAAAATCATATGTGTATATTATACAAATCTATATACTTTTTTTATAATACGGAAATTCACAGTCGCTATTAAAAGATGCACATTGGGTAAACGAAATTTTAACTTTATAGTCACAAGTTCACTTTATATCATAAGCCATTTTTAACGGGATTGATAATAATATTTTATTGTTCCGTAAGGGATGGACCTGGTGGTGTAGGGGTTGGATTTGTGACCATGAGGTCATGGGTATAAACCCCCGACACCTCAGGTCATCTGCCCCACGTGGTTCACCTAATGTGACTTTCCCGTCGGATCTGATTTACATATTTGACACAAGAAGATTACCTTTGACTATGGTCTATTTGTTTCGACTTTAATTTTAACCTCGTAGTTCTTATACAAATAAATAAATAATAATAATAATAAATTAAATTAAATTTCTTAAAGCAAATATCATAAAAAATAAAATAAAAAACTCTCAAAACATTACATTTAAGTATTTTTTTTTTTTTTTACGTGAAAACCTGCAGCTGCTACTCGAAAGTATGCACTGGATAAACCTCCGATCGAACTTAATTATTTATATTTTTATTGAATACAATGAAGGAGTATTATATAATATTATTGATTTAAGACATACAAGTTATTTAATTAAATATTGAATATGCATAGATAATATATTGTTTTGTTTGCATAGGTTCGATTCTGTATTTGAATTTAACAATAATTTAAATATGATGTAAATATATACATATAATCAAATATTTATTAAAAATTCTGAAATTGTGTAGTAAAAATATATAGAGAGAGAAGAATTTGTCTTGTAGCCTGGGCTTTATGAAATGGGCCTCAAGTTATATCGAATCAATCAATTTGTTTACTCATAAATTATTGACTCAATTTTTTATTTTAATTTTTAATGCAATAAGTGCGTTCTTCAAATTTGATTAAAAAAATTTGAATTTATATTAAAATAATATTTGATAAAATATTTTTTATACTTTATCAATCTAACTCTAATATTTACGTTATTCTTTAACGTGGATTAAAGAATATTAATATATTATTAGTAGTAGATAAATGTAATAGTGCAAAAATTAAATTACTTTTACTTTTAGATAAAAATATATAATAAAGTGAGAGTAAAATGATAAATAAGTGAAAAAAATATTACTAGTTAGTGGTACAATTACTAAAAAATATATATAAATTTTTGAATGTGACAAAAATAAAAATATATAAACATTAAAAGTGCAAAAAAAAAGTTTTTTTTTTTTTTTTTTTTTTTTTAAGAGAGGCAATAAAGTCCAAACAATAAAATTTTAAAAACTTATAATGAAAAAACACTTTGTTTGGCTGTGATTTTATATATATATATATATATATTTGTATTGTTTGTTTAAATACTAGTTTAATATGATATTTTATAAGATAAAAGTAAAATAATCGTATAATTTTATTTGAAAATTATGAGTAACTATTAGGAATATGGTTTGCTATTATTGTTTTTTTTTTTTTTTTTTTTTTTTTTGGTGAATTCTATTGAAACATAAAAATGAAGTAAAATAATAAATAAGTGTAAAAAAAAATAATAATAATTAATGTTAAAGTTCACAGTTATTAAAACAAAAAAATTATAAGCATTTTCGTTGATCCTAAAAATTAATCAAAACTGAACAACAACAAACTCTTATAGCACTACTAACAAAAACATAAATTTTGAATAACACAAACTTCATTTTTTGATCGGTCTGTCAATACACATACTGGCGAAGACAATAGCACAAAACATAAAGACAATAACATAAAATACAAAAATAATTGTTAATTCAATTCGACTACACAAGTTTACATTTGGGATTCCAACCAAGACAAAATTTTACTATCAAAGAAGTTGAAGCACGATGATCCATATATAGAATTGGAGTCGTAACTATCAAGAAATTACAACCCTATCTCTTTAGATTAAATTAAGATTTTTTATCTCAAAATTTTCTCACTTCCTTCACATTCTCTAACATATTTCATCAAGAAACATAATAATATTTCACATAACAAATTCAATAAAAAAATATAATATATTGCTCCACTATCTTTTCACCTCTACACTAATTTTGTTCCAATCATTTTTTTATATGCACCATTTTGGGCCACCTTTTTTATTGGATGGACGAATATAGACTTACTATATGTTGTTTGGCCCACCTACAAATATAAACAAAAATAATAATAATAAAATTCATTGCCAACACATTCGAATTGATCGAACAAAAATAAAAATACGTAAACATTGAAAGGAGGCATAACCAGTATTATACTATTTCCGTCAAAACTTATCCCCATTTCATGGACATAGATTTTAAGAAAGATGATAAATATATATATATATTATAATTAAAAAAAAGTAAAAAAAATTACTAAATAAAAAATCATTTTTTTTTTCATAACAATTAAAAAAAATAAATACAAATTTGGACAACCTAGAATTAATAATAATATAAATTTAATTCCATTTAAAAATAGTACTCCTAATCGTTCTAATTATACACTGTTTTCTAACATATAATAATAATAATAATGTTTAAAAATAAAATGATTCCATTTTCCGGCATCTAAACCACCGCCAACGGCGTCGATTGTCCAAAGCTCCGCCGCCGCAACCTCCGCCGCTCCACCTTCCTCTCCGCCGTATCGCCGCCGTCAAAACCCTCCTTCACGCCCTGCTCAAGTATCCTCACTATCCCCTTGTACTCCATCGCCTCCGCCATCCCCACCGCCGTCGCCCCCTTCGCCGTCGCCGCCGCCACGTCCGCCCCCTTCTTCACCAGCAGCTCCGCCACCTCCGCCTGCCCCGCCTCCACCGCGCAGTGCAGCGCCGTATACCCTTCCCTGTCCCGCGCGTCAACCTCAATTCCCCGATCAATCAGCGCACGCGCCGCCGCCACGCGCCCCTTGAACGCCGCCCTGTGCAGCGCCGTCCACCCATTCTGATCCCGGCCGTTGATCGACGCGCCGCCGTCCAGAACCCTCCCCAAAACCCTAACGTCCCCCCTACGCGCCGCCGCGCACAGCCTATCCCCCAATTTCAGCGCGTCGAACAGCCGCGCGTGGCCGTTCTCGGCCGCCACGTCGTACGCCGTCCGGCCGGCCTTATTTATCACATACTTATCCCCGCCTTTGCTCAGCAGCATCCTCACCATCTGCTCGTCGCCGATCCTCGCCGCCACGTGCAGCGGCGTCTCCCCGTCACGTGCGCTCTGCGCGTCGGCCTTCGCCCCGTTCCCCAACAACAACCGCACGCAATCCCTCCGCCGCCCCGCCACCGCCGCGTGCAGCGGCGCCTCCCCGTCCACCGCCGCGTCGGCGCTCCCTCCCTTCACCAATAACAACCCCAAAACCTCCGCATCTCCGCCCCTCGCCGCCATGTACACCGCCCTCGCCGGCGACGCCCCCTTCGCCAGCAAAAGCTCCACAATCAACCCCTCGCCGGCCGCCACCGCCGCCTCCAACGGACTCAATCCTGACCGTCCATTTCCCTCCACATCCGCATCAAATTCCAGCAACAACTGAACCAAATCAGCCCTCCCTTGTTCAATCGCCAAATGCAACAACCGCCGCCGTCCGCCACCGTCCGCCGCCGCGTCGGCAGATCTCCAGGCGGCGTCGCTCCGCTCCAAAACCTCCCTAACCTCCTCCATCCTCCCCGCCGTCACTAATTTCACCAAAACAACCGATCCAACAAAAAAAACCCTAATCCCCAAATCCGAATACACCTGTTTCTTCTTATTCGTAAACCACTCCGGCGGGGGCGGCGCCGCCGCCCCCGCCGCCTCATACGCCGGCGCCACCACGCTCTGCAACTCAAATTTATCGTCACAGTACGGCGCCGTCGTCGGCAACCCGCCGGAAACGTCGAGGTAAGTGATTTCAATTGTGATACTTTTTAGCGGCAAAATTATCCCCGACGGCGGCGCGACGGCGTAGCGATTCCGGTCGGCCGGGAGGAGGCGGAAGGCGACGGGCATGGTGTACATGACGTTGCGGAGGGTGACGGCGCCGGCGGCGGAGCGGTGGCCGGGCTCGACTCTGAGGGGGACGACGTTGGAGGGGTCGAGGGTGAGGAGGCGATCCATGTTCGAGGAAGTCGAGGTTGTGTGTGTGTGTGTAATGATTGGTGCATTTATTGTACGATGATTTGGGACAGGTGGCAGTGGCGCCGGCAAGAACAATGAGGCGCCACTTGGGGGTGTGAAGATCGATGAAGGAATTGTTCTATGTGATGTCCGGTTAGTGGAAAGACTGAGGGGAGTTTGTGCATTTCTGTAACGGTCATTTTCGTTGTGTTGTAATGTCTTCGTGTGGAAATTGTCAATTTTACAACCAGATCGATTCCTCGATTCTGTTTTTATTTTATTAACACTCTCAGATTGATACTTTTATTTTCAGATACTTTTTTGATTAATGTCATTTTAATTTTATTTGAAATGGAGGTACTCGTTGCTTGTGTTTTTTTTTTTTTAGTTTTAAAAATATTAAATTATATATATTATACTACAAATATATTTTATAATCAAAACATAAAATAAATTTTTATTTATATCACATCAGACAATTATTCAAATTTAATTTTTTATTATTAAAAAATTCGAAAAATGCTTAACTAAATATGGTGTACTGAGAAAATATATTTGATTAGATTGGTATTGTGTAAATAATGGTGATTTATGTTTGAAATTGTAATTTTGACGCTTTTCTTATTTGATTTGAGTGTGTGTTTAAATATATTTAAACATATATTTTAATAGAAGGAAGTAAATAATTATTATATTTTATTTTTATAATAAAAAATGTAATTAAAAAATAAATGAATTTAGTAAAAAAAAATTTTTTTATTTTTTATTTTTTTATTAAAGGGTAAATTATATAACACGCCCTTGTATTTTAGTAAAAATGCACAAAACATCTTGTATTTTATTTATTGCGTGAAACCCCTTGTGTTAATGTAAAGTTTGCACGAAACACTCTTCTTGTCCAAAACTGATATTTAGTTCTAAATAAATACCTAAAATATGCAAGTCTTATATACAAATAAAAAACGCAAAATATCTTAAATAATTTTTTGCATTAAATAAATAAATAAATAATTTATTAATCCTTTATTTTATAGTTTTCAGAAACAAATTGTCTGATTTTTATAAAAATTATAAAAATAAATGATTGATCAATTATTTATTTTGTTCAAAAAAATTATTTAAGATATTTTACGTTTTTTATTTGTATAAAATTTATATAATTTAGGTCTTTATCTCGAATCAAATATCAATTTTGGACAATTAGGTTGTTTCATGCAAACTTTCCATTAATACAAAGGGTTTCACATAATAAATAAAACATACAGTATTTTGTGTATTTTTAGAAAAATACAAGGATGTATTATATAATTTATCCTTTATTCAACTACTTCCTTGTAATAAATAAATAGATTGAGAGTTGACAGATAAAGGAATGATTTATATTGAATTATTATTTTTTTAAAAAATAAATATCTATGGTATATTTTGTATAAATATACATTGAAAAGAATATAAAAATTTATAAGAATTGAGCTGTTTGCAAAAATGGTTTGTTTATTATAGTTTGAAATAAATTATTAATTTAAATTTTTATTAAATAATATTTTGATAGAATATTTTGCAAAAAATAATATTACCTACGTCTCATAAAATCAATAATATTTGTTTTTGCACGTAAATTTTTTAATATTAATAATATTATATTGGTTTATAATGAAAATTATTAAAATTGCCTTATTAGATTGTGTGATATAAAAATAATGTAAGAAGTTATAAAAATATTAATTATGTTAGATAGATAGTATAATGATTAAATTAAAAAATAATACTCTTCTTGTTTTAGAACCGTTAAAAATAAAAAATAATATTCTTATGATAAGGAGGATATATTTTATTGAAAAAAAAAATCATAAACAAACAAACAAATTAAAAAACATCATAATGTATTTTTTCTAATAAATATAAACAAACACAGCCTTATAAATTGGGCCGAAGTTGTAATTGGACCAGCCCAAATAGTTGGCTTATTTGATAAGGAAGAAGGCGCGGAATTACATTTCTGTCTTCAGAACTTCGCAAAAAGATCCTCTCTCGGTTTCCGACGGGAGGCGATGGCGGTGGAAAGTGGCGGAGGGGGTTTGTCGGAGTTGTACTCAAGCTCTAAGCGCTTATCTATTAAGATCAGAGATGATTTGGAGAGGCTTGAACGCTTAGAATACACATCGTCGGCGTCGGCGTCGGCGTCTTCGCTCTCATCATCGAGCGCGGTTGTTGGATCTTCCGATGATCAGGGGGCTGCAATTCGAAGAGATTTAAACCAGATCCAGTCCATTTGCGTTGATATGGATCGACTCTGGCGTTCCATCGCATCCAAGCCGCAGCGTGATCTCTGGAAAAGGTAGCGCAACATATGTGTTTGTTTCTAAGTAGTTTTGTTGAATTATATATGTTAGTTTTTCGTTTTACGATCCTTTGCTGGTAACATGGCGAGAATTTGGAACAGCTTCGTTACTTGCTAGCCAATTTTGTGTTCTGATAGATGAATTAATTTGTGAGGGCTCCGGAACTTGTAAAAGTGAACTTGCGAGCTGCTGTTATGTAAAATTTCAATAGATGATAGTCACCATACTTGCTGGCTAATGTTGTGCTATGCTGATGAATTGATTTGTAAGGGTTCCCGAATTGGTAAAGCTGAAATTACGATCTACTGTGTTCAAATTGAATGGATTGCATAATTGTAAAGTAGATGATGCGCTAACAACTGGAAAGTCTGATGAAGCTGCTGATGAATCTTTTTTTTTTTTTTTCTAATTGTTGGAAGACTATATAATACGAACTCGAACTTAATTTATACATTTTTTCTATCAGCTTAAGTTTATAGGAGATCACCATTAAAATGATATTAGAGCAGGAGGTTGTACAAAATGCCCATGTGCAAGGTTCACGTGAGTGGAGTGTTGGAAGAGTAATTAATAATGCATTTTTCTATCGGTTTAAGCTTTTAGGTAAATGATTATTTAACGTTATTAATTTTAATAGTGATATCTTCAGCTAATTGCGAGTTGGTTAAAATGGCTTAGGGTGTGTTTGTTTGTCTTTCAAATGTTTTGGGGTGTATTGGATTTAGATTGGATATTGGATGTGATCTTTTCAATGAAAATAGTTAGTTTGATTTGATCCTTTTTCAGAGGGAAAAAGTATTTTAAAATATAGATTGCATAGTCCGAAAACAAGTTTGAAAAGTGAAAGCACGAACTTGTGTATATCTTTGAACTTCTGGTTGTCTAGTTCTCCTTGTTTTGTAGGAACTGTGGAAGTTATCTCATTCACATTGCTACTAAATCTTAATTAGTGCAACAAAGTAAGCATTCCCCGAGTATAAAATGTTTAGAACTGACGAAGGTTATCCTTTTAGGACGAGATGTTTAGATTCATCCTATATTAGTTTGATATCTTTCGTAGTTCTTCTGGATTGAAGAAATACATCACTTGATAAATTGTAATTTGACTCAAGCTGTCTTTCTGTTTACGGAAAGTTCAACCACAATCAGGATGAAAGTGAGCTTTAAGTAGATTCTTTAGTTGATGTGATTTATATAACGATCATGATTGTGAAAAATATTCCATCTGATTAAATAATAGTAACCAAGCATATCCTAAGAGAATTTTTGTTGATACTGATTTATTTATTTTAAATTTTTAATAATGGCGTGGAATCTTGCATTTGAAGAATAAGAAGCTGGTGCTTCTGTTCTTACATCTTCCTAATGAAATCATTACACAATTCCTTTATAAGCTTAAAACATGTTCCCGATCTTCTCAGTCAGTATGCGTGCTCTTACATTTCATTTTCTTATTATGGATTTGGGTATAATTTCGTTCTTACAGAAAAATAGAACAAGTTAGCGAGGAGGCTGATTCATTTAGAGCAAGTCTGGACAAATACCAATTAAGGCAACAGAAACGAATACAAGAAGCACAAGAGAGAGCAGAATTACTTGGAAGAGCTGTACTTTCCTTTTCTTGATTTGAAGCCATTTGTCTTTGCTCTCCTTGTTTAAGTCGAGCCATTTGTTTGATGCCGACTTTTCTTTTGTTCCAGAGTGGGGATTCACATGTTCTGAGAATTTTTGACGACGAGGCACAGGCAGTGGAATCAGTCCGCAGATCATCCAGGGTACTAGAAGAGTCTTTTGCAACTGGAGTTGCGATACTTAACAAGTATAGCGAGCAACGAGATCACTTAAAGGTAACCATTCCAAAGCACCGATTGCGTACTCAATTAAGTATTGAAACACAATTACATATGTGAAATATTTCCATAATATTGTCATCGTGTCTTTTCAAGTTTTAACCATAGAAAGTGCATGAAAAATTAGGTTTCGTGATCTTGATTTCGGTTCAACTTGCGCATTAACGAATTACCTTAGAGCTTCTAATCTAATTAGTTCACTAGCAAGTCCGGGATATGGTTGAATGGAGTTAAATTGCCTTCCTTTAGGTATTTGTTAGCATCTACTATTATTATTTTCATAAGTGCAAGCTGACCTTTTATATCAGCCCTCTCTAAGAACCAAACTGAGTCTATAATGATCTAGGGTATGTTGTTTGTGTCGTAAACTCGAAACATTTTGAACAAAAATAAGGCGTCAAATGTAATGTTTTAAATGGATAATAGAGTTTAGGCATCCGATGTGATTCTTTTAAGTGCAAGATTTTTTTTTGCCCTCTAGATTGCATAGTGCAAAACATAAGACCGAAAATATAATAAACACTTGTTTGTGGGTTTGGATTTTTAGGTTAGGATTTTTTAATAGTAAAAAATTGAATTTGAATAGCTATTTGATGCAATATAAATAGATGTTGATATGATGTTTTGAATATAAAATAAATTTGTAGTATAATATAAAAAAAGAAAAATAATTATTTGATTTGATATTTTTAGAGGAAAAAAGAAAATTTGACAAAAGAGCACAGCCCTTAGGTACTGTAAGTTGAATTTCTGGGTTTTGAATAGTAAAAATTTTAAGTCGAATGTGATATAAGTAGATGTTTATATGGTAGTTTGAATGTAGTATTTATTTTTAATTTAATATAAAAAAATACTTGTTTTATTTGATGTTTTTTAAGGGAATTTTTTTATTTATTGAATACTAATGTTTGAGTTGCAAACCACAAACAAATTGAGCCCTATATATTGATTGTTAATTTATACACAAGATAAGACGCTTCTGGGTTTCTAGTTCCTTCTATACATCTGGTTATGATTTATTTTAATCAATTGGTGTAAGTTCGAAATGAATGAAAAAATTGGAAAAATTCATGTATCCCATCCGCGAAAAGATTATATGTTTTCCTAAATGTTCATTTTTGTTATTATGGTTTCTTCCATTGATGCAGAGAGCTCAAAGGAAAGCCCTGGATGTTGTCAACACTTTAGGGCTTTCAAACTCACTGCTGAAGCTCATCGAGAGGCGCAGCCGTGTTGACAAATGGATCAAATATGCCGGCATGGTTTTAACAATCGTCATCCTCATTGTTTTCTGGAGGTGGACGAGATAAAAAAAAAGGCCGAGCTGGACTTCCCTTCGACCTTCCACCAGGTACACCTGAAATATTTGTTTTACTAATTTCTTTTTTGGCATTTTGCTAGGAAAAAGAAATGAGAATAGAAATTTGTACACTTGAAAAATTGGGTGGGAATGTTAGAAGGCTCTAGGGATTTTTTGTTAAGATTTTCTTGAAATGCATCTTTGTGTTAAGAGTGCATGATTTGAAAGATACGAAGATCCTGATAGGCCTGTAGACATATGGTGGTTTAATTTGATGTAACGACTCGATAAAAAAAAAATTGAATGTGAATTGTTGTGTTGTTTAATTTGATGTAATGCTTTGAATGTAAAATAAAATAGTAGATATTTGATGTAGATTTGCCTAAATAGTTGAGTTGTCGGTTTTGATTTGCCGATCTTCTTAGTTATGGTTTTGGCCTTCGTTTGAATGATTTCGGTTCAAAATAGCTAGGTTTGTTTCTTATATTTTTGGTTTAATATGAATAGATTTGCCTATGTTATTTGAAGTTTTTTTTTTTTTTTTTTTTTTTTGGAGATGATGTTAATAAAATCATACGTTACAAAATAATTAATAAATTACCATCGGATTTAGAAACTTTTACCCGTGCATGGTTATATGTTTCTTCAATAGTTTTGAAGATAAAATAAATAAATAAATAAATAAGTCTTATATATAGAGTTTTAAAAAATAAATAATTTTTTTTTCATTTGTTAAATTTATTTTTATTTTACTTTTATTTTAATTTATTTTATTACTAATTTTGGCAAAAATTAACAAATCAATATTTAATTTTTTTTTTTCATTTACTTTAATCTCTAAGTATGTTTTCAAAAATATTTTAACAATCTATTATTTACCAAATTAAAGTGGATTAATTTTAATGAATCGGACATAATATTAAAAAGTGAAATAAAATAAGCAAAGATTCTGTTTCGCTACCCGAAAGTGCATACATGACCTCATGGGCTACAAATACAAATTCAACTGATATACCAACAGATCATCTCTTACTATACTTAAATATTTCAAACCAAACTTCCATTGCAAAATTACTATTTAAATAAATTCAAATACAAATCACAAAGCCAAAGAAAGAAGCAAGGCTGAGGAAACCAACCATTACGATATAAATAATAATTTGACAATTTATGGTTTTAAACAAGTAAAAATCACACACATCTTTGTTTCAATTATCACCATAATTCACTACAAAATTGCAACAAGATTTGATCATAATCACCTCGAAGGAAGCCATCCTTGCCTCAGTCTTCCTCCTCCTCCTCCGAATAATTGAACTTTATCGAATGCGATTGCAGGTCGATTTGTCCTCCTCTATAGCTACCGCGCTTTTTCTTGGTTTTCTCATGCCGGAAATCCCTGCATACAACGGGGAACCAAACATAGATGTATAAAATGTACCCAAAGAAGCTAATAGATGCAACTCTAAGAATGGAAATGGATATATCGATCGAGAACAAAGTCAACAATATATTATATACTAAATCCAAAGTCAATCATTCAGCACAAAACATCGTCTCTTATATATCATTTTGTAATGTTTTCAAGCTATACAATTTATGGTAAAATATTATATCATTTTGTAATGTTTTCAAGCTATGCAATTTATGGAAAAATATTATGTTCTACCAAAAAGACCGTAACATCTAATGTCTATTTTTTCATTTATAATATAACATCGAGAAATCTATTTCTCATTCAAATATGTCAAATCCAAAACATCAAACACACTATGGGTGCAAACTTTACAAAGCTATAAAGAAAGCTAATGTTTGGAAATCATGAAGAAACACACCTTCCTTTGACTTGTCCGAGAACTTCTTGCGCTTTTGCACCATAACCGATCTCCGCACCATCCTGCAATAAGCAAAACAATTGAGAAGATTAAAATTGTCGGAACATTAGTGAAGGTATTCAATCAATTTAATGTTAGAAAAGCATTTACTTCAAGATACATACATACATATATATATATATTGTAGCAAACATGATTTAAGCAAAAAGTAAAGCAAGGAAAGCCGAACCTACCTTTGCCCAGTAAGAATTATCTTGAAGCCTCTCATCAGCAAATTTTACTTCATCGATTTTGACTCTTTGAAAGGCATTTACTGATTTTGGCTGCAAAAGAACAGAAATCATTTTTGTCAATATCTTCTGCGAATCCAACTCAATGAAATCATGATTCGAAGATAATAAAAGCAACAAAATGACAGAAAGAAAACAATTATTTGCCTACTGAAAGAAAATCACATCTAGGTAGGTATTGAATCGTAATAGTTGCATATTAGTTAGTAACTTAGTAGAGGTCGTAAATGCGAGAGATGTTAAAACCATTAAGCAGGGAGATAAGAAGGCACCTCGTCAGAATCCTTGCGCTGTTTCTTTGCAGATTTTGACTCACTTTTATCGACTCCCTTATTATTAAGAGTAGCTTCAGCACTTCCATTGGTTCCTTTATCAGAAATATCCCGGGCAGCCCCTTGATGAGTTTCCTTCTCTTTGCCTTCCTCTGTACCAGGAAGATTCTTAGGCTTCGATTCCTCTACTCCTCCGTCTTGAATAACCTGATTTTCTTTTTCCTCGGAATCTTTTCTTTTCCTTTTCTTAGAAGATTTCTCAGAGTCTCTAACTCCATTCTCCTCCGCCTTTGAATCCTCATTCTTTGTTTCAGCCACCATGTCAGTCTGCTTTCTACCCGAACCTAATGATTCTGATGTTAAATTGTCTTTCTTTTTCTTTTTCTCTTTCTGTTTCCTAGCCGATTGGTCCACCGTATCACGATCTTTGCTATCATCGGAACCTTTCGCGGGTTTACTTTTTTCGGCATTATTGGCAGTGTTGGTAGCCAATTATGAAGTTAAATTGTCTTTCTTTTTCTTTTTCTCTTTCTTAGTCGATTGATCCACCACATCAAGATCTTTGCAATCATCAGAACCTTTTACGGGTTTACCTTTTTCACCACCATTGGCAATGTCTGTAGCCAATTCTTGGCCCTTGGCCTTTTTCTTCTTCTTCTTCTTACCCTCAATTTCCTCACACTTCCCATTTGCATTGGCTACAGAAACCAACTGTTCTTCTGTAAAAGGCTAAAAGAAAATCATCAAGAGCAAGTGGCTTTCCAAATAAACTGATTATTTACCAATGGAACGAAATTCGGGGGAAAGAATTACAGAACCACACAGAAATTTACCTTGCTTATTGAGTACCACATCTTCAGGTTCGTTACTACTGCAAAATGTGTTGGACAGAATTTCAGAAGTTGTTGTCATAGTTGAAGTACGCAATGAATTTGATATGACACTCTGTTGAATGCCTTACCAGGTCGCTAGATATCTCAGGAAAACCTCACTTAAGTTAACAGCCTTTTCCTTCCAATTGTCGTCCTGAAAAGCATAATAATGTAGTTAACCATTTTACTGCTCTACATAACTTTCACATATATGATTGTGCTACCACAAAGAGTTTCTGCACTCACTACAAGAATGTTAGAGAATAATGTTTCCTTATATTTTTGGTATGTTTTTGCACTAAGAACCAATCATTCTATGGTAAAAAGCTTTTCTTGGCCAAAAACATCATTATAACAACTATTTTCCAATCCAAAAATATCATCCAAAAACACCAAATATATTCCAAAACACAAATAATCACACAGTAAGTTTTCCTTAACAGCAAGAACACCAGTGAAAAAAGTTAAATCTTCTCACAGATTTTATTTTATTTTATTGATATAATTTCTTGCTGATGTTTAAGTCAAAAAACACCTTCAGTAATTGATGAACTTTCATCTTACGTTGATTCAATTCATCTATTTCCACTCCAAAAGGCTAGTTTTCAACTATGCTAAGGGCGAAAAACACCAGTGCAAGAGAAGCAGATAACTATCTACAATTTACGCCAAACCTACTCCCCAGAGACAGCATTAGTATTCCATTCAATGGATCAAAACGAACACAGACCTGAATTTGTGCGGCGTAGAGGAAGCGCTTGAGAACTTTGGAGAAGCCTTTGTTTTCGAGCCATAGAGCAATGGAGCAAATCATAGCATACTCGTCCTCAGCCTTCAATTGCACTGGTTTCTCCTCTTTTTTCGTCGCCATTGATGCGGATACTGACGGATTGGCCCGCCGCTGCTCCAAAAGGATGACCTGACGAGGCTTGAAGGCGACAAACAACGACAGTCGGCTAGGGCTTACGTCACCGCTCCCGCGCATATACCAGATATTGACCACGAGTCTGCGTCGGCGGTGGCGTCGATCAACCTTTCTTCTACCTCAGAGAAGGTTCTCGAATATTTGTAGATGCGCAGAGGCTTTTAGGGTTCTGCTATTTTGCACCTGGATTAGATGTTGTATCTTGTGAAGCAAATGTTGTACCCTTGCTTTCTCGACGCTTTAGGGTTTATGCCTGCAATGAATGTTGTACTTTGTGATTTGAATGTTGTACAGTGTTAATTGGGCTCGTGGCCCATTATTGAAATGGGCCAAAAGGCCCAAAAGGAATAATGGCATCTCCCTATAGTTCTCTGTCTTGCACATAATCAGATGTTGTACCCTTGCTTTCAGGGCGCGTTAGGGTTTAGGCCTGAAGTGAATATTGTACATTCTGTTGTTAATTTTGTACGCTGTTAAGTGGGCTCTTGGCTCCTTATAAATGGGTCCGAATAGGCCCAATAAGAACAATGGTATTTCCTATATTAGGGTTTGCGCCTCCCTTTGTCTGCAGATCTCTCTCTGCAACAAAGAAGAAACCCTAGAAGGTGCTGCGGTTCAAGTTTCAACAGGTAATTTGCTACCCGTTGCTTCGTTTTGTTCGTCGAATTGAGAAGATTTTCTTTCTTCAGAAGATTGTAATCTGATTTTTGATTAATTTTGGTTCATTAGATTGATATTTTATTTTATTTTTGAACATTGCGATACATCGTTGTTTTGAAATCGGTGAAACTACTCTTTCGTAGACTTTATAGTATTGTAGTGCTCTTTGATCGGATGGATTTGGGAAGCTTTGTAGGATCAGATTCAGTGTGTGTATTAAATTAGATGTTATGTACCTGGGAATTATTAACAACAGATTTGCTGCCGTTAAAGCTTACAGTAATTAATTTGCTATCTATATCTTCGTTTTTGTAATTGAAATTGTAGTGTTATTTCTGCTGAAGGAGATTGCAGTGGGATTTTTAGTTCAGATTCATAAGATTGGGATATTTTATTTTTTTTTGGTGGACGTGTGATACGTTCGTTAATTTAAAATTGTTGAAACTTATTGTTTGTATGCCAATGCCGCTAGATCTCCGATCAAATTTGGGAAGCTTTGTTGAATAAGGTTCAATGTGCGAATTGATTTGATGTTCTGTAACCTTGTATCATTAATAGTAAAGCAAATTGTGTGGGCATATCAGATATTTCAGTCCTCAGTCCGTGTAATGATTTCTTATTTTATTTTGATTGATTTATGTGATAGAGAGATGAGCGACAAGGTAAAGGTTGGGATACTCGTTCCCGAGTCAGTCTTGAAGAAACAAAAGCGAAATGAGAAATGGGCCCTTGCAAAGGCGAAAGAACTCGAGGAAGCAAAGAAAAAAAACGCTGAGACTCGCAAGCTAATCTGCAAAAAAGCGAAGGAGTATGCCAAGGAATACGAAGAAAATGTACGGTTGGAATTACCTTATTTTTCGGAATCAATGTGTATTTCTTTGATTTTATTCGTTTTAGATTAAATGTAATTTCTGTGATAATTTTTACTTTTCATCCTTTGAATGTTTAGGAGAGGCAACTGATTCAGCTGAAGCGTGAGGCTCGTTTGAAGGGCGGCTTCTACGTCAGTCCCGAGGCCAAGCTTTTGTTCATCGTTAGAATCCGTGGGTAAGGCATTTCAACTACAATTCATGTAATTGATAACTTTAATATTCTCAAACATACATGATTAAATTATTAAATTACTGTTTTCTCTATCAGTATTAATGCAATGCACCCGCAGACCAAGAAAATTTTGCAGCTTCTGCGACTGAGACAGGTATGAATGCGGCCAATTATTTAGTTTCTGAACCTATTTGTTTGCACACAACATTTATCTAACAAATTGATTTGAACTACTGTAGATTTTCAACGGGGTATTTCTGAAAGTTAACAAAGCTACACTGAACATGCTTCACAGAGTCGAGCCATATGTTACTTATGGGTAAGACATTCTCTCATACCTCTCATATGCCTTAACATTTATTCACGACAAACGTCTGGAAAACCCTCATCATAATTACACAAATTTTCAGATACCCCAACCTTAAGAGCGTCCGAGAGCTGATTTACAAACGAGGCTATGGGAAAGTGAACAAGCAGCGGATTGCCTTGACAGACAACTCTATCATCGAGCAGGTACCTTGTGTGTTTCTTTTGAGTTTTTGTTTATGTTGTGTTTGTGTGGGGTTTTGGATTTATATTTTGAATTAAAATAGTTATTTGACTTGATATAACCAAGTGATGATTTGATGCTTTTACGTAGAGTTTTTTTTAATTATTATTATAATATAAAGATAAAAACAAGTATTTGATTTAATGGTTTTGGAAGAAAGAATTCGATCCAAACAACCACAACCTTAGGTTGTGTTCTTTTGTGGGTTTTACAACGTATTTTTATTATTTAGACTCTTTTTTTTTTTCTAAAAATATCAAATCAAATAATTATTTTTATTTTTTTTTTATATTATAGTACAAATAAACACACCCCTGACTTTCTTTGAAAACAAAAACTTTTCTTTTTCTCTCAAAATACAAATCATTACATCCTTGTTAACTCAATGTCTTCTTACGCCGCCTTGTTTGCAAAATCTACTGTTTCTTGATGGGCCCAGCCGTCTTAAATTGCTTTATTTCGGTTTTTTTGATAGACATTGGGTAAGACGGGAATAATTTGCGTGGAAGATCTCATCCACGAGATCATGACGGTGGGGCCCCACTTCAAGGAAGCGAACAACTTTTTGTGGCCATTCCAGCTGAAGGCACCCCTGGGCGGGTTGAAGAAGAAAAGGAACCATTACGTTGAAGGCGGTGATGCTGGTAACCGCGAGGATTACATTAACGAACTCATTAGGAGGATGAATTAAATAAGCTTTATCGCAACTTTGCTTTTGCTGCATTAAATGGAATTTTCGATCTGCTTCTTCAAGACTTATTTAGTCGAAAACTTTGCATTTTGGGCTTCTCTTGTTGACATTCTGGTTAATTAGTACTATGATTTGGCATGCAATTAATGTTTAGTTTTGTCAAGAATTGAGTTTGTGATATGCTGAAATTAGATTTGACTTATATTTTTGTCATGTTCACCTCTTGTTTGAATGTTCATTTGTGTCCATTTTTTCATTAACGTAGGCACCTTACTAAGGTAAAAATATGTTTGCGTTGCTTGGTAGGATAGTAAAAAAATACACTATCATTTAAATTTATGCTTTTTTTTTTTTTTTTTTGTTTCGGTAAAAAAAAAAATGTTTTGGCTTTTTAGTAAAATATCATTTTTTTTTCTTTACTATAAAAGAATACTCTTTGTATTTTTATTTACTTTTTTTTAAAATTTGTACTCTTAAATGAGTGTAAATTTTGCTGATGAGCATTCGGATTTTCGGTTTGAATTTTGTTAAATTCGAACAGATCTGAAAATCCTAAATTTTTGAAAAAATTGATCCGAATCGAAATCCGTAATTCGAACTGAAAAATTCGAAACAAATTGAAAATTTTGAAATTCTAAATATTTTTATTATTTTTTTTAAATTTTTAAATTTCTTTTATATTTAATATTATAATATATAAAAATTAAATATATTAAAATATAATTAATAAATTTGAGTTTTTATAATAAAAATATAATATTTTTAAATAAAATATTAAATTTGTATAATAAAAAAATATATTAAAATTTTATATTTCAGATTTCGGATTGGTTCGGATTTTAAGTAAACCGATTCGATCATAAAATTCAAAATTTGTTAAAAATTCAATTCTATCAAATCCTAGATGAAATTTTAAATTTTAATTTGGTTCCGATTAGATTTTTGGGATTTCGGATATTTTTAAGTAAGAAAACAGAAGTTGTGGGGGTAATTTAGGAAATTTATTAGTGAAAGTGTTTAATTGATGGTATATGTTTGATTTATCAACAGTGGTAATTGTTATTATGAAAAAAGTAAGTATTACTTGGTGTTTGTTATTTATTTAGGTTGTGTTGTTTTAGATTTTACTATATATTTTTATTATTCAGATTTTTATTTTTTTTTTAAGGTATTACATCAAATAATTATTTTATATATATATTTATACTATAAAAATTTATTTTACATTTTAAATATCATATAAATTTTTATTTTATATTATATCAAACAACTATTTAAATTCAATTTTTTATTATTAAAAAATTCAGACTAAAAAAATTAAAACCCACAAACAAACACACCATATTGTATTTATAGTATTATTCTCCAGAGTGTGTTTTGTTTGGAGGATTTGTTAAAACTTAAACTATTAATTAAATTTTTTTCTCAAAAATATCAAATCAAAATATAAAATCATACAACTATTCAAACCATAAGTAGATGCTGAATAAATCATATCTATCTAATATTGTAATTAATGAAGGATAATTTAGTTTATTACAATTTTCAACTTACAATCCACTCTTATACTCCATCCGTCCCAAAACTATGATTTTATTTGAGTTGGGTACGATATGTAAAATGTATTCATATTATATTGATAGTCGATAAAAAAATATGAATAAAAGACTTTTTTTGTCCTTGTGAGTGTATTAGTATAAAAAGTAGTGATATTTGTATAATAATAAAAAAGTAAGAATGTATTAGTATAAAAAGTAGTGATATTTGTATAATAATAATAAAAAAGTAAGAATGTATTAGTATAAAAAATAGTGATATTTGTCTAGTAATAATAAAAAAGTAAGAATAATTTTACGGTGATATAAGTATTTATGAAAATAAGGCTATTGTTTTGGGACGGACAAAAATATAAACAAAACTATTGTATTGGGACTTATGAGTATTATTTTGCACAAATAAATGATTTTTTACATAACATAGTTTAATTCCACCCGACAGAGAGAGATCTTTGATAAATAAGTACTCCCTTTTGACATCTTTTGTTGTGGAAAATAATGTGCCAATTATTTTTATTTTTGTTGGCCGTTTTACATATTTTGTTTTCTTATTTTTAAAAATATTAATTATTAATTTTAGTTATATTTTAAATTTTATAATTTATAATTTATTATATTAATTAAATTATTTTATTATTTTATTTAAATTTTTGTGTTTACTGTACAACATGGAGACTTTAAGGTGTGTTTGTTTGGAGGTTTGGATTTTAAATTGGAATTTGAATAGTAAAAATTTTGAATTTGAATAGTTGTATGATGTAATATAAATAGGTGTTGATGTGATGTTTTGAATGTAAAATTGATTTTTAGTATAATATAAAAAATGAAAAAGAGGTGTTTGATTTGATGTTTTTGGGGGAAAAAAATTGGATGAATAGTAGAAAAAAAAAATTCAATCCCTCAAACAAACACACCCTAAATGAATATTATATTACCTTCTCCATCCACGAACTAATGTCCTACTTTTTTATTTTGGACATTAAAAAACTATTGTCATATTTCATTTTTTAAACACAAATTTTATTTTTTTATCCTTAATTTATTTATTACTTTTAATTTTTCCTGTACAATTAAGGACATATTTGTTAATTCATAACAAAAAAAAGACGATTACTTAAAAAATTTATG